GTACTGGGAAACCAAGCAATCAGCTCGCCTCCCTGGTAAGCAGTAGTGAGCCTACTGGTGCACAGGCTGAGAGTCAAACATCCCATTCCCCCACCCCCACCCCATTAGCAAATGGGAGCCAGAGATCTGAGCATCTCTTAGGAGGTTGACCATATGCAAGAGAGCAAATAAAGGGGATTTCGCTCTACCAGCTCTTTGATGGCAAATATTTTTACTACTGTTTTGCTTTATTCTGATTAATGGTACTGCTCTATTCAATATTCTGTTTTGATAAGTTCTGTATTTCATTTTATTTTGCTATATGTGATTGAAAGAACAACTATTGTGAAGATAAAGACATATACTGTGGTATCTGTTACTGTTATCCTGGTAACCTGCTGTGAAGTTCTGTACTAATTTCACTACACTGTCTCAGTTGGCTTTGTTCTGTTGTATTTAACTACCTTCAAAAAAAAAGATAGAAAAAAGGGATCTGGAAATAGGCTAAATGCTCAACACATTAAGAGAATGTGGGACTGAACCAAGGTATGTTCATTTGACAAGATATTAAATAGCCATTTAAAGAACATAAAGTCAGTTTTAAATGCCATTTCCAACTGTAAGATTTCCTTAAAATAATCTGTCTCCAGGCTTGCAAGGTGAATCCAGAACATTGAGTAATGGAGAGCAAGTAGGTGCTTTCAAGATCGATGACACTGACTCTAACAAAAGAAACAACAATCACTGACCAAGTTAGAGACAATTGGAGTATAAAAAATAGTGGTATAATGGTGACAATGGATTCTACTATGTTGAATTAAAATTAGTCTCTCCAAGCCGGGCACAGTGGTGTTCTTTGCTGCTCCCAACAACCCAGGAGGCTGAGGCAAAAAGATCTCGGGTATCAGGCCAGCCTAGGAAATTTAGCAGGACCCTGTTTTACAATAAAAAAATAAAAGGTTGAGGTTATAGCTCTGTGTGATGCCTGGATTCCATCCTTAGTACTGCACCATAAATAAGTACATAATTTCTCCAAAATAATGAATTACTCAGTCCATGGTACCCAGGGAAAGGGAGAAGACAGAGCAAGCTGCTGCTTCACAGAACACAGAACAGCAATGCAAGCTGAAACCACAAGCAAACACCTCACTTCTAGACCTTGTTGTCTGCGTTTGAGGATAACCCAGCCTGGCCTGGGGCTTGATATCCTCCTGCCTCAGCCTCCTAGATAGCTGGGGTACAGGCATGTGTCACCACATCTCCTTTTGATTAAAGTGGAGAGATCCACTGGACATTCCCTTACCCTGTGAAAGAGTTTTGCCCCTGTATAAATTACTGTACAGTTATGGTGGTGGTCTAACGTGGCAGAAGGCCAAAGCGGGACCACCTACCACTTCCTGCTTCTTCTTCAACCCTAACTGCAGCTCCCCATCCTGTTTGCATGCACAGAGAATTCCAGTTGGTTCCTCACACATTATCAATATCCGCTCCATGTGCCACTTCAGTCAGAGGTCATAGAACCCTCTGCCTCTGTGTCTGGTTGAAGGAGGCAGCCCAGCGCCATGGGTCGTGTGCTCCTTTCCACATCCTCAACTCAATAAACCTGTTCATTTTGTACTTTTGCTTCTCTATTGCGCCAGAGTACTCTTAATACCCTGGTGATCAAGTCTAATGTCACCAATAAGGGGACAATAGACATTGCATGCCTGCCAGTGACAGACTGGGGAATCCACAGTATCACCTCTGCAGTGGTCTTTCTGGAACTGTCTCACTTAAATCTAGTCAAAAAGAAACTATGGGAAGACTCAGAATGTGGGACATTCTGAGTGGCAATGGACCTGGATGCTTCAATACGATAAATGACGTTAAAAATGAGCCAGTCAAAAAAAAGCAAGTGGACCAGGTGCCAGTAATTCCAGTGCTTGGGAGGCTGAGTCAGGAGGATTCCTATGAGTTCAAGGACAGCCTGGGCTATATAATGAGACCCTGTCTCAAAAACCAAAAAAAAAAAAAAGAAAAAAAGAAAAAAAAAGAAAAGAAAAGAAAGGAAAAAAGAAGAGAAAGAAAAAAAGGGAAGATTGTTTTAAGATTCAAATAGACTAAGGAAACTTCAACAAATATAGTAGGGAGCATTGATTGAATCTTTTTGTTTCTTTTTGTGTGTTTTTTGAGAGAAGATCTCTGTATGTAGTTCAGGCTGTCAGACTGACTACAGAGCCCAGGCTGGCCTCAAATTTGCAGCAACCCTCCTGCCTCAGCCTCCCGAGTGATCAGATTATAGGCATGTGCCACCACACCTGGTCCTTGATTGAATCTCAACTGAGAAAGAAACAGAAAACATTTCAGGAGGAAATGAAAAATTTAATATAGACTAGTAGACAATACTGTTAAACAAGTGTTAATTTCTTAACTGTAATAATGGTCTTGTAGGCCTACAGAATTCTTTATTCTTAGGAGAGAGGTCTGCCAAGGGGGCAGCAAATATGGCAAAATGTTTAGAAATGATGAATCTAGGGTATACAAGTTTATTCAAATTTTCCTGGTTTATTTTATTTTTTAGTTTTCTTTGTTTTATGTGTGCATTTTGTTGTGTTTTATTTTGCTTTGTTTGAGACAGTCTCACGTTGCAGCCCAAATTGGCCTCCAATTCATAGCAGACCCCCTGCCTCAGCCTCCCAAATGCTGGGATTATAGGCGTATGCCACCACACCCAGCTTTTTCTGGAGGTTTAAAGAAGAAAACAATAAAGGCCATATAGCAAAGATGGGAAAAATTAGTAACCAATGTTAAGAAAAAAGTATGTAACATTCTGTACGCCCAACAATCACGATATTAAAAACTTGTAAGAGAAACCGTCTTTGTTCACTTTACGTTTGTTAAACCGATCCCTGTACCTGGTGGGTGCGGTGCCGGGAGGACCTGTCTCTCAGTGGAAGCCCAATGATGTGCTGCACCTGCCAGTCCCTGGGTCTCGCAGGAGCCCTCCCAGAAGGTGCACCCCATATCCTGGGTGCCCCTCCACTTGCGTGGCCCACGACACACTGACACTGCTTGTTTCCAGGAACTCCCTCCTGGGAGTGAGGAGTCACACTGATGTCTCCATTGCAACAAGCGCCAGTGCATGGGGTGCTCCAGACCCAGCCATTTTTTAATACCGCGACGCCTTTCCTAAGCAAGGTAACTACTCTCACCTCGCGCGGCTTCCTCAGCCTGTGTGCACCCCGCAGGAACTCTTCACGCCCCTGCGTGTCAGGGCTAACCTCACCCTGCATGCGTGGATCTCCGGGCTCCATTGCGCTCCTTGGAGCACTCAGAAGCCTGGATACTACCTACACCTCCCATCATAAACACTGTGCAAAGCGCCTGCCTTGCAAGTACATGGTTCTGAGTTTGATCCCCGGTACAAAATAATAATAATAATAAAATAAACACTGCAGTTTTTAAAGCCACTTCCTACCATCTTCTCCCTTAACCCATGGGCCTTCCCTTCCAGGAGAGGAGGAGCGTGGGAGGGCCTCGCCCAAACATGGGCTGCTGCCCACAGCCATTGAGTCCATCCCTTGGCGGAGGCTGGAGACCCTGGCCAAGGGGCTAACTAGCCCGTTCTCACAGCGTGGGTTAGGCGTGCCCGCCGTTAGGCTGCTCACTAATACTGTCCACCTTCGGGTAACGTGCACACACGTTTTCTCTACTGCATTCCTTGAAGATTTTCTACAGTCGTCTCCTGTCCAACTCCTCCGTGCCATCAGATCTGAGGCTGCACTCCCAGCCATACATACAGAATCAGGACCTACATTTCAGCCAAATGCAGTGGCCCACACCTGTCATCCCAGCACTGGGGAGGCTGAGGCAGGATAGCTAGCCTGAGCTAACAGTGAGTTCTGAAGTGCTTATGAAAACCTTGTCTCAAAAACAAAAATCAAAACATGCCGCTTAACAAGACCCTCAGGAGAATCCTGTTCACACAGGAATCTGTGTGAAGTTCAGGAGGCAAAGTCTGAGGTATTCAGCACCCACTAGAACGGAACGGAAATTTAACCAATGTCTTGAGCCTCAAGGCCCTGGGAAGGCTGGGGATTCGCAGTTTGCAGGTGCACCGGTGCCTGGCTTCCTTCTCCCCAGCTTGGAGAGCCCTCCTTCCGTGGCCTCGCTTGGCTCTCGCCTGCCTGCAATGACAAACAAGAGACACCTTCCCAGGGGAGTCAAGAAGGGCCTCAGCTTCTGCCTAGCGCTTCTGGTGAGGAGACAGAACCGCCTAGCGCTTGACCGGTTTTTGACGGACAACGCTGGAATACTCTCCAGACTTGATTTATTGACTTGTCGGTTTCCATTCTGTCAGGAATCTGATTGACAGTGAAACTCTGGGGGGGGATTCCTGCGGGTATGCACGCAGCCACAGGGCTGTGTGTGTGTGTGAGCCGAGAGCGAGGGGTGCTTGTGCGTGCAAACAACACGGGAGACGTGGGTGCCCTGGGGAGTTGACAGCACTCTAGAAGTGTTTGCTTGGAGTGGAAAGCAGAGTGGGGTGCAGGGTGCGAGCTGGATTGGGGAGTGGACAGTTACAGACTGGCGGAGCTCGGGGTGCCTCGGTCGCCCCCACACCTACCCTAAACCGTCCATCCAGGCTGCCTTTTCCGGGAGAAGGCCCTCGGGAAGGGGGAGGAGGGACGCATGGCGCCTGAGGCGGGGGGTGGGGCAGATGGTCCCTCGTCCGCTTCTCGCACCGGTTGCTGGGAGCCGGGGCGAGAACCGATCTGGGCGGTGCGCCACTCGCGGGGCACGCGAGGCGGCACGTGGGGCACTCGCAGTCCGCCCAGAGCAGCACCCGCGCCCCGCCCCGCCCTTGTTCCCGAAGCCCCGCCTACTTCTAGGCCCCGCCTCTCCCCTGTTCCTGACGCCCCGCCCGCGCCATTTGGCCCGCCCCTCCCTTGTTCCTGACGCGCGGCCCACCCCTCCCTTGTTCCCGACACCCCGCCCCCTCCGTGCGACCCCGCCCCCGCCGCCGCCGCGCCGCCGGTGCGCAGTTCCGCGGCCTCATGCTACTGAGCGGAGCTCCTCCCGCGGGCTCCGGCCCCGCGCCGCGCGCGCAGGGGGGGGCCGGGGGCGGCCCGGGGGGGTCCCGCCGCGGTGCGGGAGGGGCGGGCGCCGGTCCGGGAGGGGGAGGCAGCGGCGGCGTGGCCAAGTGGCTCCGGGAGCACCTGGGCTTCCGTGGGGCGGGAGGCGGCGGGGGCGGCAAGCCGGCGCCCCCGGAGCCCGACTACCGGCCCCCTGCGCCCTGCCCAGCCGCTCCTCCCGCGCCGCCCCCGGACATCCTGGCCGCCTACCGGCTGCAGCGGGAGCGCGACTTCGAGGACCCCTACTCCGGAGGCCCGTCGGGCTCCGCCGTCCTCGCTGCCCCCGCCGCCCCTGGCCCCGCGCCGCCTCCGCGCCACGGCTCACCCCCGCACCGCCTGATCAGGGTCGAGACCCCGGGGCCACCGGCGCCCCCTCCGGAGGAGCGGATCTCAGGAGTCCCGGCCAGCAGCGACCGGGTGAGTGCGCTCTGGGTGGGGGTAACCGCCAGGGTAGGTGGTCGCAGGTCTGGAGATTGCAGGAGGGACAAAGGTGGCCTGGCCAGAGCTGGGCCTCGCGCTGTCACGGGTTTACAGCGGACGCCAGCGAAGCCCGACCCTGAGGCTCGGCGTCTAAAGCCACCATTGTTCAGATTGTCCACCGGTTGATCCGAGAGAGTCCCCGGTGCCCCCCTCTTTCAGCCTTTTCCCTCCTGGGCTCTGCTCCCCTTGTAAAACCCCCCTCATACCACCCCCAGCCTCGTCTTACAGCCTTTATTCTAACGGGAACGAAGGAACACTCTCTCTCTCTCTCACACACACACACACACACACACCCTTGCTGGTTTCTGGCCACACACACACACACACACACACACACTTGCTGGTTTCTGGCCTTTTTGTGCTTTGCCACTTGCAGCCCTTTGATCTCTGACCCATCTTGAAGGGCAGAACCTAGCAAAGCTTTCCCTTCCCGCCGTTGCTGCTCCTCTTCCTCTCTCCTCCTGGAGCCTAAGCATCCTGAAGGTGCTGGAGCTCCTGAAAGGAGGTGAGGGCCAGGGTTTCTCCCTGTGGACACAGTCTGGGAGTGGGCCTTTGCCTTACCTGTTGGGTGTTAGGTCCCAGGAGGCCAGGTTGGGCTCTGCGTGGCTCTTGTCAAGATGTTGGCCACTGAGGTCCAAGCCCATGCCTTTCCATGTTCCTCCAGATAGGAGGACAGTTGTCCAGGACCTGTTGCCCCGCTGAGGTTAAGCCACAGACATATTCCTCCTCTCCCCTTGGCCTCCTTGTGCCCAGAACCTTTCATGGCCTGCAGGCACTGGGGTGGAGGGAGAGCAGTTGACCACTTCTCGGGGACATCGCCTGCCTCTCCCTGGCATAGTGACAACTGAGCACCACCCCCAGGATCTATGTCTGTAAGTCCCAGGAAGATGACACTGTGCCCGGCCCTGTCCTTCCCTCACCCCTGTGAGCTGAGCTCCCTCTGGAGAGGAGAGAGCATGCCTTCAGCACCTTCTTTAGAGCAGAGTTGCTGTGTGAATCCAAATCCTGGCTCCAAGAGGTGGCAGGGTCAGAACTGAAGCCTCAGGAATGTGGTGCTGTTTCTTTTGAGTGTGTCTCTTTCTGTCCCTTCCTACTCTGAGGCCAGAGGCTCGGCTGCCCATCCTGGCCCTCCCCTGCTGCAGAACAAGACTCAAGGGCCGGTCCCCAGGCTGTAGGACCTCTTCCTTGCTCATGTCCCCTGCCACGTGTGACAGTGGTGGTGTTGGTATAAGCCTTGTTCCTGCCACCTCTCTGACCATTGCCTGTGGGCAATGGGCCTGTGCTGTCCTCCACCCTCATCCTCTGTGCCTCTGCTTGAGCGACCCAACAGGCTGTTCGCCAGCTGTGGGCTTTTCCGATGGGCTCATGCTTGTGTCCTGCTATCTGGGTATCTGACACAACACTTGCATCAAGAGTTGTCCACTGCCAGGGGCTTCCTCGCTGCAGTTCCCTGTGCATCTTTTCCCAGAGACCACAAGGGGGCTATACCCCCACAGCCAGGTGGACAGACCCGAGACAGCCAGGGCTCTGCTTGAGTCAGCCTGGGACTGGGGCTGCTCCGATCTGGGGAGCAGACAAGAGAGGTCTTTGTCCATCACAGTGGCAGGAATGAAATCCAGCAGGCTCTCCAAGGAGCCACACCATCAATGTGGTTTCTCCAGTGGGTGTGATGAGGATGCGGATGTCACCCGAGGCTGGCCACAGGCAGGACACTCACTCTGGTCCCTGACCTAGGGCTTCCTGCCATGTAGAAAGGACATTCCCCACCCCTGGGCATGGAGCCTGGGGGATGGCGGGCCTCCCTAGGCATAGCTGAGGCCAGGTGCCGGTGACATGTGCTCACCCACATGTCTGGGCCCCCCTGGGCCTCAGGTGTCCCCTGTTCCTGTAGGGCGGATGTTCGGCACTGTGTGTCCTCTTTCCTCTGGCTTCTGCATGGCCCCTCGATTATGACTCTGGGGTCTCCTCCCATGGGGACTGGGGACCGCCATGTGCCTTGCACTGCCTTCCCTTCCCAGACACTGGCACTGAACCTTGTGAGAGCTGATCAGTGGATGGAGGGGCGTCTGTCGGTGCCCACGGGACCAATGCAGAAGGAGCCCAGGGCACCTAGGAACAGAGAGTGACCTGAACAGGATCCCGAGAGGCCCCAGGGCTTGGAACCCTCCACTGTGCACCACACAGGGCTCTGACTGTGCCCACTGTGGTTGGCAAGGCCCCAGGGTGGCCATCTGCATAGCCAGGCAGGGCAGGTGTGGGCGCAGCAGGAGCAGTGCCATGCAACGGACAGGCAGGCCCTCACCATCTGGCTGCAGGAAAAGCCCTGGCTGGCACTGAGCCCCTGTCCTGCCACTCCGGCCATGCCTGGCAGAGGGGAAAGAGTGGGGAATGCTCCGCCCACTTTCAGTGACCTTCAACAGGAGGACCTGTTCTAATTAGGGGCGGGGATGGGTGAGCTGCCTATGACCATCTGCACAATGGGTCCCTTGCCTCCATCATGCCAAATGCACGGATGGTGGAGGGAGCAAGTGACACAGACTGCAAGACAGCCCTATATTGAAAGCTCTTTGCTTGGGGGTGGAGGTGACCGGGGGTGCACAGCCTCTGGAATCAATCGTGCATGGCCACTGGGGATCTTGTAGAGTTTGCAACCTTCAGGTAGTGTTGAGAGCAGGAGAGGGGTGTGGGGGAGACAGTCAGTGTCCACAGCCAAGCACAACAGTCCCACCTTGAGGTCCCTAACTAGTGTTCTCCCGTATAATGTGTCATTGCATTGCCCTGGGAATGGAAAGGGACCTTATTCTTTGAAGGTCTGGTCCTTGCCTCTTGTGAGTATCTTTGTTGGTTTGGTTTGTTTTTTTTTTTGAGACAGGGTCTTGCGATGTAGTTTAGGCTGGCATTGAGCTCACTATGTAGCCTATCCTGGCCTTGAACTTATGGCGGTCCTCCTGCCTCATCCTCCCGTGTGCTGGGATTACAGGTGTGCACCACCATGCCTGGCATGATAGCTTTCATTTGCCTTCCTGTGGCCCTGGTGAACTGGGGGTGTGATCACTTAAGTAGCATACCTCTGATGGAAGAAGAGGGAGGAGGAATGGAGGGAAAGAGAGGTAGGAGATGGGAGGAATCCAGGTTGAGGACCTCTTTGCCTCTGGCCTGACCTGACCGAGTGCTACTGTTGGTGCTTCGAGGGCAGCTGAGGCCTGTGGGTACCCAGGGGATCATATGGGTAACCCACCCACTTTGCCTGGCACAGTGGTCCTCACTGTGTTGGAGAGATGTCTGCTGCACTTGTCAGCTTGATTAGTGAGTGACTCGGCCCCAGCTCTGTCCTGACACTGCCTGTGTGAGCTAGTGACAGCTGGGACCCTGAGAACCATGGACAGGAGAGCCTGGTTGAGCTGGGTAAGCCCTCGCTGGGATGGAGGCTTGACGGGTACATGCTGCACAGTCTGGCCTGGAACTCATAGCAATCCTCCTGCCTCAGCCTCCTGAGTACTGGGACTATAGGTTTGCACCACCACCCCTGGCTTCTTTTCATTTTGAATGACATAGTGGTTGATATTTACTGAGCACCTGTCTTGGCCTGGTACTTTGAGGTCTTAGACTGGTTGATCCTTGCAGCTACCCTATAAAGAAGACTGTCGTACTCTTGTGGAGTTCTGTATAGAGAAACCGAGGCATGGAACTGTTGAACATTCTCACACAGTTTCCCAGCTAGTAGGTAGCGCAGTGGAGGTTCCCAGCCCTGTGCCCTGAACGGGTGCCTGGGAAGTGTTTGCTGAGGAGCAAGAAGAGGCAGACTGAGAGAAGAGCCAGGGGCTTGTTCTGTGCAGAGCCCACTGTCTCCCATCTCCTGAGTGCCGGGGATCGCTAATGACCCCTCCCTCCATCCCAAGGCGGCCACAAGTGTACCCAAGGGTCTCAGAAGGGGCAGCAGCATTACCCGTACGCCTGTGATGCGTGACATCTTGGTAAGCATGGTGTTGTTCTTGTAATTAGAGAAAGAAAAATAAGCAATGTGTTTCATGTCAAAGGAGCTTTCCAGGCAGATGAACCGGGTGAGGGCGTCCCCAGAATCAAAAGCAGTGCACACCAGAAGTTTGAGTGGGGAAAGGTAAGCAGTGTATTCTTCCCCCGGCAGATCGGGTAAACTAGGTATTCAGTGACAGAAGACTTTCATAGTTAGATTAGACACTTGGAAATACTGAAATAGGCAAAAATTAGAGCGACCTCTTCATGCAGGCTAGAAAGTTCATGGCCTAGTGATTCTAGACAAGTCCCCTGTCACTGAGCTACACCCCCAGCCACTAAAGTAAAGTGTAAGCCACAGGACAGGTGCGAAGAGGTGGCATTTCCTAAATTCCTGGCAGTCAGGAGCCCTGTGTCCCACTCTGACAAGCTGTGTCCCTGCCACAAGGCTCACACAGAAGGGGTCGTCAGAGTCGCCTGGTACTGACCATGAACCCCACGCCAGCCCCCAGGCTGAGAACGGGTACAGATCTGTGTCCTCTTCCCTACGCTGTGAGATGAGTTCAAGTCCCTCCTCGCTCTCCAGCTGAGGAAGACAGAGGTTTCCAGACATGCAACATAGACTGAAGAAGCTGTAGTTTGAGCACCTTGTGAAGCCAGCCTTTGGCACTCCAGCGCCCTCCCTATCCCTGCTGTGGATTTGCACCCCTGGAGCCCCATGCAGAAGGTTGGGGACAGGTCACATGTGCAGGAAGCAAGTCAGAGAGAAGAGCTGCCCTGGGAGGCACTACTGTTGAACAGATGCAGAGCAGGGTCCTGGGCAGCCTGCTGGGTGGCAGGAGGGGGGGCCAGGGCCAACTCTGCATCTCAGTTGTGTTCTGGCAGTCCAGTTCTGGGTCTGAGGGTGTGCCCAGATGTCAGCCCAAGCTTTAATCCTGTTGCCACTGCTGGTCATTCAGGGTCAGGGTGAATGGAGATCTGGAAGTTGGGATCACTCCTGAGGATGGTGTGTGGTCAGAGAAGGAGGCCTTGTAGGAGCCAGGAAGTGTCCGCTCTTCCAGGCCCTGGTGGACACAGCTATGGAGGCCATGGGGCCATTAACAGCAGCAAACTGTGGTAGCTTCGAGGTGCCCTAGGCCTGGAGAGGCAGCCCGGGCCTCAGTTTGGGTTCTGTGGTGCAAGGCAGGTGCTTGGGCTACTGGCCTTCCTGGGCATTGTGGGTGGTGCTCAGGCCCAGGGCTGGGGCTTCCTGGAGCAGGGTGTGGAGCCAGGAGTGGAACAGAGGAGCCATTGAGCTGCCACCTGGCTGCCCACGGGTGCTGCGGGCTGGCATCAGAGAGGCTCACACCAGCCTGAGAGGCTCAGCTCCAGGCCTGGGCGGGGCACACTTCCTGTGGCTCTGACCAGGTCTGAAGAGGGAAGGGGGTTTGGGAGTAGGGACCTCTGGGAACACAGCCTCCCCAGTGTCCATTCTTCCTCCCCAGTGACCTCAGGGAGGGTTCAGGCACTGGGTGTTTGGGGTGAACGTGGCTCAGGCCCTTGGGAAGCTGGGCTGGCAGGAAGACCTCCAGTAACAAACATCTGCTACCAGAAAGCGATGCCCGCAAGGGCAGTGTTGAGCTCCTGGCAACGCAATCCTGGGCAGGTAGAGAGAAGCCAAGGGGAACGGGGAGTCTTTTTAACTCTGGGCTTTTTCTCAGAGCACTAAGGAGCTTGCACCAAGCTCAGGCTCTGCAGTAGTGGACCCCAAAGTCCCTTGGCGGTGGTGGGGGACTGTACTGAGGAAGAGTGGGGAGCCCGGCCACCTGAGAGGAGGACTAGGGATGCAGGGCTCCAGGGCAGTCAGTGTCGATGGCTGGAAGCATTTCTCAGTGCCTGCTGCATGTCAGCTGCCTGCTGGAGCTGGAGAGCCCAGAACAAGGAGCTCCCAGCCAGGGGAGTACAGTGCTGGTGACAGGGCCATAGGAGGTGGCAGTCATCCAAGCAGGGAGGCCAATTTGGGGAAACACAGGAGTCGCCCTTCCCCATGCTACAGGCTCCAGAGCCACCTGGCCTGAGCAGAGTTCAGTCTCCACTGTTGTCATCCCCACGCCCCAAAAGCCTGTGCCCAACTTGGAGAAAGGTCCCATTGTCCCAAGCCAGGCCCCACCCTGAGCACCTTGGGCGCCTCTGCAGGGTGAGTGGCTGTGGTAAGCTCCGACTTACAAGGTGTGGGGACAGAAGGAGTGGCCAGAGCCCATCTTGGGAACAGAGCAGCACCTGCATGGTGGAGGCCCCAATTCCCCTGGCCTGGCCCCATCTGCCGGAAGCCAGGGGGATTGGGGCCGCCCCAGGCTTGTGTCTTTCCCAGCGCAGTCAAGATGCTGGAGGTGACAGAGTGTAAGTTCCAGTCCTAGGTGCCCCACTTCCATAAACCGAAAGATCTTGGGGGTTTTGGTCCCTGACTGCCCTGGGCCTTTATTTCCTGCGTGTGGGATTGGTACTACAAGCCTGGATGTCACTCAGGTCACACAGCAGGGCAGTGGCAGCTATGAGCACAGTATGTTCTCCACTTCCTTTCCTGTTTGTTCCATGTCTGGGGACCCCGTTCTTGCCACCTGTCTGTCCCCTGCCCATTCTCTGAAGCCTTTCCATGCCTTCCGTCACCAGGGCTTGGGATTCCTTTTGAACCGCTTGGGGTAGGTGCTTATCTTGGGGAAATCCTCAGGCAGGCCATGTAGCATCAGATACAGCGCAGGGACATGCAGTTAGCAAGAAGAAAGGTGGGGAGCCCAAGGCAGCCCCCATGGGACCTCTCAGCTGCTCTGGGGTGGGTCCAGGCCTGACCAGGACTCTTGTGCTGTGGGCTGCCCTTCCGACATCTGAAGCCTGCTCTGCTCATGCCCCGCCCCACAGCTAGCCATCCTAGAAGACTATGCAGACCCGTTTGATGTCCAGGAGATGGGGGAAGGGTCAGCAGGTGCCTCAGGGGCCCCGGAGAAGATCCCTGAAAATGACGGCTATATGGAGCCTTACGAAGCCCAGAAGATGATGGCTGGTGAGTGAAGGGCCACAGTGGAGGGGTCCCCCAAGACCTGGGCTCTATAGAGCAGGCTCCCGTAGACCCCCAGGTCTCAGAACTAATGCATGGGTCCCAAGGAAATTGACGGGGGAGGCCCTTTTCCAGGCCCTTGGGAGGGTGCCCATTGCTTTCAAGGCCATTCTTTAGTGAAGGAGCTTGATTTGTAAGAGGACCTCACAACCGAAAGTCAGACAGAAGCATTCAGGATCAGAAGGGCAGGATAGTAGCATGGGCCACGAGCCAATGCTCCTGGAAAGACAGTCACTAGCTCTGAGGCGCTGTTATGAATTTGGAACATTGACATTTTGTCAGAAACACAAGTAGAAATAGCGATGCGATGGGTATTATGCACCGGTGTCCTGAGGCTGGCCGGGCAGCAACAATCCAGGGCAGCTAAGAGGGGCCAGCCATGCGGGGAGGTGCCTCCAAGACTGCAGTGAAGTGTTTGGATGTGTTCCAGAAGGGGTGTGGAATCATCCTCAATTCCTGAACAAGAAAGAAAGGATAAATATGGCATTTTAAGAGGATTACTGAGTCCTTTGTGTGCAGAATGGATCGGAAGAACTGGGCGTCAAGTTCGAGCCAGGCTTGGTGGTACACGCCTGTAATCCCAGCACTCAAGGCTGAGTTGAAGGCCAGGCTGGGCTTTGTAGCTCAAGGCTTGCAGGACTGCGTGGGGGACGCTGTGTTCAGACAAGGGCCTCAAAAACAGAAGGGAAGGAGAGGGAGGAATCAGACTGTTAGGCTGTTGGGAAATTTGGGGGATTTAAGGGGCCATTTCTTCCTCCGCTGAGCCTGGAGATAACTGAAAAAGGAGATGAAACGGGCAGCGGAGCTTGGAAGTGTCAATGGACTGGAAGGTAAGGCTCAGCAGTCTGCTGCCTCGGGCTTCTTGGCCACAGAGCTAAAGTCGCCCGCTCAGGCTGGGGCTGCTGGCTGCCCAGGGAGGAGGGCCCGGGGCCAATCTGTTCTCTAAGATCTGCACAGAGCAAAGCTGGGCCGGGGTAGAGCTCCTGGAGTGCCGCCATCCCTGTGTGGCCATCATCTGGACAGGGAGAAGTGGGGTGAAAGTCGTCCTGTGCCAGCAAGGGACAGGTGGAGTCTAGAGAAGCACATGGGTCAGGTCCAAGGAGAGCGTGCGCTGGGCCGGAGTGGAGGAGGAGAGCAGTGGCCACCTTCCACCACTCCATGGTGCCCTTTGGCTTCTCCTGGGGGATGGGGATCCCCAAAACTCAGCAGCTGGGGAGAAGGTTGGAAGGAACGTGACATCATGGAAGCATCTCTCTGGCCATGAGAAGACTGGATGCCCTGGGTGTTGGGATCGGGCAAGGTCAGGGCCAGGGTGGGGAAAATGACGGTGACCAGGAGCACAGGAGGCCACAGGGAAAGCATGGCAGGAGCTGCAGGAAAGGGGGAGGGCCTACGGGAGGGCGTGGCCCTGGGCAGGAGGCAGTGGGCCAGTGCAGGGCTGTGGCTCAGTCCCCTGAAACGCGTCAGCTTGAGCTGCTCAGCAATTGCTATGTGTCATGGGACCCTTTTTTTTTTTTTTTTTTCTTTTTGAGACAGGGTCTCACTGTGTAGTTCAGGCTGGCCTTGAACTCACAGGGAATCCTGCCTCAGCCTCCTGAGTGTTGGGAATTCAATCATACTGGATTGCCATGCCCGGTCCAGGGAATGCTTTTTCTGTCCTTTGCTCTAGAGCTTGTCTCCTGTGAGCCTTGTGCTTCAAAAGCCCTCAAGTGTTTGGTGTGGAAGGTGTCCTTTTCTTCCCTCTGCCCTCCCCTTCCTTCCAAACCTTCTACAGCCCAGAGTAATTTTGAAGGTGACAGCCCCAGGAGGTGTGGCTGCTGGGCTCCCCTTGGGTCTTGGCTGGACTCACACCTCTCCTGTGTCCTTTTCCTGGCAGAGATCCGGGGCTCCAAGGAGCCAGCCGCCCAGCCCTTGCCTCTGTATGACACCCCTTATGAGCCGGGTGAGGAAGCCCTTAGCCCCGAGGGTGAGGCTGCGCCCTGGCCCCGGGAGTCTCGCCTGCCAGAGGATGACGAGAGGCCCCCGGAGGAGTATGATCAGCCCTGGGAGTGGAAGAAGGAGAGGATTTCCAAAGCCTTTGCGGGTGAGCCTGGGCGACGATGTTTAACACGTCAGAGGGTACAGCAGCCATGTGTGCACAGGTGTGTGTGTGTACACGCATGTGTGTGTGTGCACAAACACGCATATGTGTGTCACTCAATCCCAGGCTGTGGCTCCTTGCAGAGGGCTCTGCACACCGTATTTGTGGCCTCAGGGGGACTCTGTGGATGCTGTGAGGAGTCTCCTGACAGCTGAGCGAGGATCAGCTGTCCCTGTGGCACTGCCGAGCACGGCTCACAGCAGACCCCAGCCCCTGCCCACCCCGCAGCCAGCCTGGGAAGCAACAGCTCCCTCCTTGGCTTCCTGTAAAGCACAGGCCTCAGAGGACAGAGGACAGACTCGAGGATGGGCCGTTTATCTCCCAGAGATCAATACTGTTTGGATCGCCTAATGGGAAAATCTATGGCCGTCATTAGGAAACCTCGTTAGCAGCCCTGCAGCTGCCCGAAGTGTCCCTCTTCCCTGGACAGGCGTTAAATTTAAAGACAGCATCTGTCCCTGTCCCCCTTGGCACAGTCTGCAGCCTGGGCCCCAGGGTGGGTGCAAGGGAGACACACCGGCTCCCCTCCTGCTTCTCCTCTTTTCCTGACCCCTCTGGGCCCTTGAGGGCTGTGAGAGGTGGGAGGGAGGCAGGGGCCACCTGGCTGCTGGTGAGCCCTGCCCATGCCTTCTACCGGTGACAGTCTTGCTCCTGCCCCTCCTGCCTCAGCTGTCCTGTGTCTCAACCTCTGCCTCTCTGTGTCTCCGTCTCTGTCACTGTCTTTCTCCTCCTTCTGCTGCTGGCTCCAGTTGACATAAAGGTCATCAAAGACCTACCTTGGCCTCCACCTGTGGGACAGCTGGACAGCAGCCCCTCCCTGCCCGACGGGGACAGGGACATCTCCGGTCCAGCCTCACCCCTCCCCGAGCTCAGCACGGAGGACAGCAGCGGTGGGTCCCGGGGGGTGGGTCCAGGGTGACAGGTCCTGTTGCCCCTGCAGACTTGGGCTGGAGAAGCCCAGAGGTGGGCCGGGGCTAGGAAACACAACCTACTGGCCTGGGAGCCGGGGGGGGACAGAATGCATGTTCCTCTCCTGGAGCTAGATGTGCCCAGCATGCCACAGAATTCCACATATTTTACATCCCCAGCCCTTTGTAAAAGGTTTTTACTTTGAGACCCACTCTTGCTCGGTGGCCCAGTCTGGGCTTGAACTTTCCTCAGCCTCCCAGCGAGGAGGGGTTACAGGCATCCACCTCCCCACCAGGCAGAACCACGCTCCTGGGCAGAGCTTGGCTAGACAGTGCGATGTACCCCTGGGGTGGAGGCGGGGCGCTGGCACTGAACCCTCGGGTGTGATGGAGAGGGTCTGTCCCTGCAGCTGGTGATTGCAGGATAGTAAGGGCTTGAAAGTAATAAAGAGCAGGATAGAAAAGAGCACAGGCCTGTAATCCCAGGGCTCTGGAGGCTGAGGCAGGAGGATTACTATGAATTCAAGGCCAGCCTGGGCTACATAGTAGATTCAAGGCCAGTCTAAACTACATAGTGAGACCCTTTCTCAAAAGAAGAAAATGGTAAAAGACAGAGAACTGGGAGAAGGACAGGCCCAGAAAGTTCTCCACCTTCAGTTGAGCCTGCAGTGGGTGCCTTGAGGGTGTGTCTGGTGGCTATGGGTGCTTTAGCACCCCAGAGCCAGCGGGGGTGTTGTGTGAATGCCAGTGGAGGACAGTGATCATGTGCCTGCGGGTCCTGACCTGGGACCTGCTGGGGCAGCCGGTGGGCTCCCAAGCCTGGAAGGGCAGACCCCACTCCGGGCTTCAGGGAAGGGTGGCGGGCAGGCAGCTGTCTGGCGGCGTGGGCAGGATTAGCCTGTCAGGATGCACCAGGGACTCGGGTAATTGTTCTCCAATCGATAAGTCATTTCTGCAGAATGGCTTGGCAGGGTGATTTGGAGAAAGGTAATGAACTCTGAGGAGGAGAAAGAAACAATATTATCAGCGCCGATGCCCTGGAGCGGGCAGGGGGCTGTCAGCTGCTCCTGAGGAAGCTGCTAAGCAGTTTCCCAGGTAGCTGCCTCCCCAGAGGGCCGGTGGTGAGGGAAACTGAGCCCCATCCCGGGATCCACACATCCGGTCCCGAGTCGGGGAGGGGACCCTGTGGCTGCCACTGGAGGCCAGGGTCCCCAACGTCCCTGACCCGTGCGTTCCCCGCAGCCCAGTTTGAAGGATCTGAGAAGAGCTGCCTGTCGCCCAGCCGGGAGGAGAAGGGGCGAGCACCTCCCCGGCTCCCTGCAGCAACCCCCAAGCCAGCCAAGGCCCTGGGCACCGAGCCCAGTAGCCCCCTGGGGGAGTGGACGGACCCCGCGCTGCCTCTGGAAGACCAGGTGTGCGTGTCTGCATCCACCGGGCTGCTGCACGGGCTCCCTGCAGGGCGGGCCAGGCCTCACAGACGTGTCCTCTCCCCTATTCCCACAGCTGGTACCACGGGGCCATCAGCCGAACCGATGCCGAGAACCTGCTTCGGCTGTGCAAGGAGGCCAGCTACCTGGTGCGCAACAGCGAGACCAGCAAGAATGACTTCTCCCTGTCCCTCAAGTGAGTGGGCCTGGGGAGGGGCGTCTGGGACATGGGGCTGGCCCTCCTGGCCTCAGCCACAGTCCAGAAGGCTACTGGTAGTCACTAACTGTGGCCCCAGGAGGCTTAGGCAGGAGGTTTGCTTTGAGTTGAGGTTATCCTAGGCTATATAAGTTTAAGGCCAGCCAGAACAGCACAGTGAGACCCTGTCTCAAAAACAAGATTTTAAAGAGGACAGTTAAGGAATTTCTAAACTACACTTACCCAGGGAGAGGGCTGTTCTCATTCCACTTCCATAAAGGATGCAAGAAAAATTCCAGGCCTTGTGGCACACACCTGTAATCCCATCCCTGCACTTGGGAGGCTGAGGCAGGAAGATCATTGCAAATTCAGAGCCAGGCTACATGGTGAGTAGAGTGAGATCCTGTCTCAAAAAATCTAAAGATATGAGAGAGAGAGAAAAAAAAAAACGCCAAACTTGAGTTAGGTAACCTGAGTCCTATACTTGGATTTGATAAACCAGCTGGTACACAGCAGTAATCCTAACACTCTGGAGGCTGAGACTGGAGGATGATAGACTTGGAAGTCAGTTTAGGCTACAGAGCAAGTTCAAGGCCAACCTAAACTCCACACCGAGTCTGTCTCAAGAAACAAAAAAAATAATAATTTTTTTGTTTACAAAACTTCACATGGCATATTGTTTCAAATAATTACAGCTAAAATTTGTGTTGGATTCCAACAGCATATGCACCATACCAACTACTGCCCATCATCAGAATGCTTTCTTTTTATACACACAAAATAGATTAAGGGGGTTAGGACTTGCTTTCAGGGGTAAGGTCACTGGCTAAATCAAATCCCCAAGCCCAAGCTATTGCAGACCGTGGTGTTGTATACCCATGAGCCCTTGCTAGTACAGAAACTGAGGCAGGAGGATTACTTAAGCCCAGAAAGAACAACATTTTGGAACAACAGTTTCCAAAAAAAGAAAACAAATATATATATTCTCCAACGTGGGGTTTGAACACAGCTCCATCTGACTCTGAAGGGCTCTGCCATGTGTCCCTGAGGGCTTCTGGGCCGAGATAGGAGAGATGCAGGGATCTGGCTCCCCAGTACAGACTGGGAGCCAGCTGACCAGCCCTGGCCACACCCCAGCCCAGGCTGATCTGCCCTCACCGGCTGCCTCTGTCTGCCAGGGCCTCGTTTGCATATAAATGGCTTCTCTGAAATACAATTATGGTTTTTCTTCTCTCCCTAATGGAAGGGCTTTCACTAGTAATTAAACAGCTTCCTCCAAAGGCTTGGCCAGCCCTAGCCCTGTGGCCTGCCAGTCCCACCCGGCCCCCCAGGGTCTGGTGAGGGCCTTCCTGGGCCCTAATGGATCCTGAGAACCTGGGCTGGGGAGGCAGGGCCAGCCACCCTCTCTGGTGGTCTGGGATGCCCCGGAGGCTGGCTCCGCTGACCTGCAGGAGAAAGTACAGTGTGCCACCTGGGGAACAGGTCAGGAAGGCAAGGCTGTGGCCTGGCTGTGGAGAGGGGCACATGGTGTGGGGACCCTCACCACTGCCCACAGAGGCTGTCAGTGCCAGCCCCAGGCTTTTATCTCAGTCCTGCAGAGCCTCAAACCCTGACCTCACCCAGCCTCCTGGGGCTGGAGCTACCCCACACCCTGCAGGCTGCCAGGGCTGTCTTGCTGGCCTTGTGCCCAGGGAGTGAACTACCAGCCTGGCCTCTGAAGATGGGAGCCTAAGGACAGACCCCCAAGTCCTGCCCTTATCTCCAGTTTCAGTCCTGGCCCTGGCAAGCTTCAGAGCCTCTCCAAAAAAGCCATTACCCAGCCTGTGGGTTTCAGGCTGGGACCTGGCAAACCACATGGGTGGTAGTTTGGATACTTGTGCCTGGGCGTGCAGGGCTCACTCCCATGTCCTTGCCCCAGGCTGAGAGCCCCAGGACCCCTCGGGCCCTGGCATGAAGCGACTCCCAGGGTGGGTAGGAAGATGGGTGGAGCAGTGGAGCCTCAGCTTCTGGATGTCACTCCAGCCCCCAGGGTGCATGCAGGGGCAAGAGCTGGTGCAGGGCCCAAGAAGGTGCAGGGATGCACTTGAAGGCCAGCCTACACCAGTGCCCCCACCTTTGCCCCCACCCTGCCCTGCCCAACCCGCACCAGCTCCCTGCTGACTTTGGAGCCTGGGGGCACCCTGAGGGCTGAAGTGCCTGGGTGAGCGCCCTGGGCCACCCTATACCCGGGTCTTTTGTTCCTCGCAGGAGCAGCCAAGGCTTCATGCACATGAAGCTGTCCCGGACCAAGGAACACAAGTATGTGCTGGGCCAGAACAGCCCCCCCTTCAGCAGCGTGCCGGAAATCGTGCACCACTATGCCAGCCGCAAGCTACCCATCAAGGGGGCTGAGCACATGTCGCTGCTGTACCCCGTGGCCATCCGGACTCTGTAGACGCGGGGCAGGATGCCGGGACAGACCCGGATCCGGTCTGGGCACCTGGCTGAGGGCCTGGAGGGTCCCACGGAACTTGATCCCGCCACCTGGCATCCCCTCGCTCTGGGGGTGTAGACGCTGCAGATTCCTTAATTTATTGTGACGAGGGAGGCGCGGGGGCCCTGGACGGGGGGCTTGTCCGGAGCCCGGGGACCCTGAGGTCTTCGGGAGGCGCCGCCCGCCCTGGGCCCTGGGTCTGCGGGGGGCAAGTGCGCGCGCGCTCCCGGGGCGCCTCCGCTCCGGGCCAACCGCGATAAATAAATAGATCCTGCCAGGCACATTTGCGTCCTACCGGCCCTGCGCGCGAGAGAGCGCGCGCAGACAGGCAGCCGCGGAAAGGCGATCGCGGCATTAAGGTCCTCGGTTGGAAGAGGCAGCGCGGGACAAAGAGCCGGGGCCTGGAGGCTGCAGCGCGCGGGCTGGCCGGGAGCGCCCCCTGGCGCTGCACCTCTCGCGGTCCTCCGCCCACCCCCGCGAGTGGGCGGGCAAACCGCCCCCCACGCCCCCCCCCTGCTGCGCTGGAGCTCTGGGAGGGCTGCCCGAGAGCCAGGTCCCAACCCCAAAGAGTGGGAATCCCCTCCAGGGGCTTCTGGGAAGTATATGTGCTGATCTGACCAATGTAGCCAGGCTAGCTCAGGTTGTGTCCCCTCTCCCAGCCTTTTCCAGAGCCCCACACCCTCTCTGCCCTCCTGAGCTGCCCCTCCAGGCCCTGCACGGGTAAAGGCACCCTTGGGCGCCTAGCCCTACGCGGCTCCTTCACCAAGTGGAGACTGGCTGCTGGCGTGAGTACGTTCTCCTCACCCTGCCCTGGCCCGGATAAGGAAACCTGAAGCGGCAAGCTGATTTATTTATTAAGGAGCCAGAGCAGAGGGTGCTGGGCGCTGCACAGCTAGGTGTGGGCGGAGGTCTGACCTCGGAGCGCAGGGTTGTCCCAGGAGGAAGGGGCACGTTGGCTTAGGCCTCAGAGGGCTTCCTGTAAACTGCCAGCCCTTCTGAAAGTGGGGACCTTTCCAAATGGGGGCTGCAAGATGCCAGCACCTGCGGCCTCACTTGGTCTGCGGCCTCACTTGGTCTGCAGCCTCAGTCACCTACACACAGGCATGTGTGCACACTGGCATGCACACACTTGTTGCCTTTTGTTTTTGTTCGTACCCAGGGAGAAAAGGCTTCACTGTGTCCCAAATCTGCAGCTTGCTTGTCCTGGGTTCTTGGACATTTCCTCCATTTCTGCAGGCTGGGGCACATCCGGGGGCCCCCAGAGCCACACAGGACCACTGAGCATAGCCGCCTGGGCCGCGCTGAGCGCTGGGCGCTGGGCGGTGAAAGGCAGAGACAGGCTGTACGGGGTGGCTGTGGGCACCAGGCTGAGCCCCTGGGGAGGGTCCTAGAAGTTCTCATAATGGTGGGAGAAGTGGGTGCGGTCCTGCCGGTTGATGAGCTGACAGGCCTTCTCCACATTCTTGGTCATGCCCGGGGGTCCGCAGCTGAACACCCCGATCTTCCGGACCTGTAGCAAGGAATAAGTTGTTTGGTCTCCGGTGTCGTCCAGCGGCAGGGCCCGCTCCCTGATCACGCAGACACCATTGGGAAACCCCAGTGTCCCCAAGGAAGGCTTGCTGGGTACGTGGGGTGGGCTCACTCAGTATTAATGGCGATGTGGCTGAGTCTATGGCGCGGAGCAGCTGGATTATTTAGCTCTGTCTCTTTGACGGCGCAGAGTAGCTGAGGAGCTCTGTGTGAACCCCATCCCCGTTTTCCACCCACTGCGCCCCGCCCCCATGTCCTGGGGCCCGGGTTCCCAGCAGCAGCCACTTCCCTCCCTGGCAGATGCAGGTTTGGGACCCCAGAGAGGAAAGGTGTAACAGCCTGGCAGGGGTGCAGCGACCTGGGGGTGCACCTCCTGCAGGGAGTTGAAGAAAGCCTCGAACGGCGGCCGGCCAAAGTGGGTGACAGAGCGCAGGCCCGTGAACAGACTCCGGTTCAGCACCTTCTGGAAGTGCCGCTCACAGATGTACTGGGGGGACACGCGGGGGTCACAGCCAGGCCTTGGGGCCGACTCTCAGCCCCGCCAACCTGGCCTGCGCCCCCTCCCTCGCCCCCCAGCCTACCAGCATGGTGGTCCTTAGGTCGAACTTCTCGGCCAGCTGGGTGATGTAGATGTGCACGGAGACCAGGTCCTGGCGGTCGTTCTCTTCCACTTCGCGGATGATGTCAGCCAGCCACTCGAACTGCCGCTGGGTTCGCGTCACCCAGATGAAGTAGATCTGGGGGGCAAGGGGCAGCTCAGCTCAGGCTCCCTGCATCCCGCATCCTGGTGCTTTCCCAGACCAAGCTCTCCGGCCTCTGCCACAACAGCCTGGGACGTGGCATGCGCACATGCATCCCAATCCAGGTGTGGGGTCGGAGAGGTGGAGTAGGGCAGTGAGGGTCGGTCGGGGCAGCAGCCTGGGGCCAGCCTGTCCCGCACACCTTCCTATGGGCCCTGCTCGGTGGAGGCTGCGCTCCAGTCACAGGCACGGGAGGAGAAGGCACTGTCACCGCCTGAGTGCTGATGACACACGGGCCGGGACTCTGCCTGCTTGTTCTGGCTTCCCTGACTCATCTGCTGGCCCCACAACAAGCAGGGGCCTGCCACTGGCCCAGCTGGAGGGAAGGGGCCCAAGCCAGCAGAGAGGCCAGCCTGCCTTGCCACCTCCTGTCCCTCCCAAAGCTGAGCGGGGTTTCACCCAGCCCCACCTGAGCCGTGCCCTGCCGGCTCCTGGCCCTCAGTGTCCCAGAGCCTCTCATAGGCAACCCCACATGATCCCCCGTGACCAAGGGCAGGAGCCTGCACACATCAGCAAGCCAGCTCTGTCTGGGGTTATTGTGACATTACCAGTGTCAGGCCATCTGGCCCCTGCCCAACCCAGGGACCGAGAACAGCAACAGGTCCAAGCAGGGCCCAGGAGGGCTGGGGTACGGGCTTAGCAGGAGTGGACACTCACTTTCTTACAGAATACTTGGCAGCTAACGGATGACTTGAAGACCAGGTCTTTGAGGATGGAAGCAAAGGGGGTGACCCCAATGCCTCCTCCCACCAGCACCGACACCTCAAACTTATGCCATTCCTGGTGCCCCTCTCCAAAGGGACCGTCGAGGTAGAGCTACAGGGAGGGAAAGAGCTGGGGTTCAGCTCGGCCACTACCAAAGCTCTGACGCCAGGACTGGCCAGCAGCGAAAGGCAGGGATGCGGGTGAGGGGAGGCTGGCAGGGACATGGTATTGTGAGGATCGACCAAGGGCGTCTCAGACTACCGAGTACCTTTGGGTACTTGGCAGTGCTGTCACCAGTCGGGGGTGAGTAGATCTCCCGGAGACGGGTGGTCCAGGGCCCTGCTGCCCGGATGTGCAGGCTGAGTGTGTCCTCATGGGGTGCAGAGGTCAGTGTGAAGGGGTGGTACTCATTGGTCCCCAGAGCCAGGCAGGCGATCCGCACCCACTGCCCTGACTTGTACTCGAAGCCCTGGGGCCGCTGGAAGCGCAGGTGGGTCACTCCTGGGCAGGGATGGCAGGTGGGGTGTGGGCTCCAGAGTCCCCACATCAAGCCCTAGCTCCACCTCTGGGATACGACAGGGAGGGCCTCCCATCACCCATGCAGGGCCAGGGCAGTAGGGCAGGGGTACCACCTCGGGAAAGAGCACTTCCCACCAGGCTGCTCAGCCAGGCCCGGACAGACCCCTCTGCAGGGCCAGGCCGGAAGATGTGGTACAGGTGGACAGCCTCCAAGCTGATACCTGAAGGCAGCAGCTCGGCCTTCACCACGCCGATCTCCACCTTCTTCCGGCTCAGGCTCACCAGCTTGTCCCCCACATAGATGAGTGCAGGGACCAGGAAGAAAAGGTGGAAGCGCGGCAGCTGGATCAGAGCAAAGCTGCCGTGGATGATGAGCTGGGGACCAGAGAGCACCGCTCAGGCCCAGGGACAGGCAGGTGGGGCGGTGGGGGCGGGGCAGGGAGCAGGATGCACTCAGGCCTCTGAGCTCCCCACTCCACCCCCAGCATCCCGTGAGAATGGAAATCGGTGGGAATCTGAGGAAATGGGCCTGCTCCCCATCCCCACCGCCACCTACACCGAACCCTGCAGGCTTCCACCCTGACTGCTCTTCCACGGCCCCCCACTTCTGCCTTTAGCAATACGTGTCTACGTCCATGTCTGTGTCTGTGTCCACAGTGGGGAGGTGGCGCGCACACATCTTTTTAGGTCCGCTGCCCACTCCTCTGGCACCTGCTGCTCCCCCTGCCCGGGCTGTCCTTCCCCTGGTCCTTCGTAGCTGCCTCTGCCCCCTCTGCAGGTCACAGCAGACGTAACACTTCCTCAGTGTCCCTCCATCCTCTCTGACTCCCCGGGGACAGCCATGCGTGCTGTGGTGTCCCCGCTGGGCTGGAGACATGCCCTCAGAACCAACACTAGGAACCTATGAGAGAGGAATCCCCAGTCTGTCCCTCTCTTTGGGAGCTAAGAACACCTAAGGAGAAGCCATGAGATAGTGGCAGGCACTGTCCTGCACTGACCCTCTGCCTGACAGTGGCAGACACAGCTTGTCCCAGGCCTCCTGCTTACTGCTCCTGAGCCTGGGTCCTGAGCTCTTGCCCACAACATCCCTCCTGACCATGTCTGTTCCTGCTCTTGGCAGCCTGTGGACACTAGTGACGCAGCCCCAGGTCCCTGCCACCACCACTACCACCACCCCTGCCTCAGAGGCTCTGCTGCTCAGCCACTCCTGCCCACTCTGTAGCTCCTGTCCGGCGCCACTCCTGCCACCCAACCCTGGGTGCAGCCCCTTCCTTCTGCGCCCCACCCTACAGTATAGCCACTGCTCGCAGCATGTCCCACCACCCCTTTGTCCTGTGCCACCCATGGCCAGCCCACTTCTCCTCACCCATAAGAATCCCAGGTGTCCCCACCCAATCCTGGGTTCAGGCCCGTCCTGCACCTTGCATGGCTCTCCAGGGACCACTCAGCCCTATCACCAAGGAGTTGACTTTCCCAGTCCCCCCTGGCCAGTTCAGCCCAAAGGAAACTTTCCTCTCTGCTCTCACAGTGGGAACGCTGGGCTCAGCAGGGAGGCCTGCACTTGTGTTTGTTTTTATTACTTCCCCAAGTTCCTAAGGGCAGGGCTTGAGTCTCCACCTCCACTGCCTCACCCAGGGCTGGCAGGTGAGACCCTCCGCAACCCCCACACAGCACAGGCTTAAACCTGGTGCCAAGCCAGTATCCTCCCTGCCCGTGCTGCCTTGCCCTTCTGAAGCCTCTACCCCTGCAAGCACAAAGACTGGATGACCTCACACTCTGCTTATATATCCCATTTTCTGCTGCTGTGCTTTCGACCGCAAAGCTGCTGCAGACTGCCGGCTGGCTGGCAGCCTGGGCAGCGGAGCAGACAGCTGCCTCTGAAGCGCCAACCCTGCCCTTCAGCCCGAATCAGCAGGCTGGCGTCCAGCCCCAGCATCTGCTCTGTCCTGGCTCCTTTCCTATCACTTCCTTCTCTGCTGCAGATCAAGCATGCCCAGGAGGATGGAAGGAGGAGGGTGCTTTGGCCCTGCCACGGGATGGGTCCTCTGAACCCAGAAACAGCCAGCAAGGGGTCCTGATCCTGGGCGAATGGGCTGGCTGCTGGCTGAGTCTCCCTGACTCCAAAGATGCTGCTTGATCACTAGTGATGGCCCATGAAGCCGCTGTGGCCCAGGGCGCCAGGCCTCCACCCATTATTTGGCAGGACAAATGAATTAGCTTTGGTTTCCAAAGAAGGGAGCAATTTCTTAGGAAACAGACATCATCAGTTCTAGGAAAATCTTAAGCCACCATGGTGGCTCAAGTGCAAGGGTGAGCAGGGAGCGCAGGGATTTGGGAACAACCCTGCCCCCAGCTGTCAGAGAGGACGGAGCTGGGAGGAGGCAGCCAGACAGGCGACCATGTGCCACTCTTTGTTTCAGAACAAAGACCCCCATGTGCAGCTTGGCCTGAGAACAGAGGGTGCTCAGATGGGTTCTGATGCTGGCAGCCAGTCACCTGGCATCTGGTGTGGAGATGCGGGACCCTGGGGCTTGGGTTGTCTTCTCTACCAGCCTTCAGGGTGCTCTCTGGGAAACTGCCTGGGTCCCTGGGGAAGGCAGCCAGGAAGAGCCACAGCACAGGGCTCCAGGCAGAGCCAGTTTGGGACTAACCAGGTGACACTGCTGATGACAAACTCGGGCAGGATGAAGGGAAGATGAGAAGAAAAGAAAGCAAGCATGGGACCCAGATTAAAAAGAAGGGAGACACTGCAGACCTCAAAGTGCAATTTGTGCTGAGCGTGGTGTCACAAACCTGTAGTCTCAGCACTTAAGAGGCTGAGGCAGGGGAAACACCACATGTTCAAGACCAGCCTGAACTACATAGCGAAACTCACCAAAAAAACAAAAAAAGAAAGTCCATTTTAGCAATCCAGCTGAAGATGTTCTGAGACAGTTCATTAATTTCAGAGGTAGCATTTGGCTGGGTGGGGTTTGCTTAATGTACCCCAAAATACCAGAGTCAAAAACAGCAGAACCCACTTAAAAAACCATGATGCTCAGGGGCTGGGGATTTAGCTCAGAGACATAAACAGGCAGTCATGAGTTCAATCCCTGGTACTGATAAAAAATTAAAAATTAAAAAACAAACAAACAAAAAAAACCCGTGATGCTCCTTTAGGTGAGGCAATGAGCCCAGCGGCTAACACCTGACCCCAGAGGCAGAGGCAGAGAGACAACAAGCGACAAGGGGGTCCAGTGGGCTCAGCCTGCCCCCCCACCCCGGGCTTGGTTACGGGAGCCAACCTGCAGCCTCCATCTCTCACGAGGGAGGGGAGGAGACCCTTGAAGTACTGGGGGTGGGGAAGAGGGTCACTGTGCAACCTGGCGCTGGCCCAGCCTGCAGCCCCAAGTCCTCACCAGGACATAGAGCACAACGTAGAGGTGGTGTGTCAGCCAGAAGCCCCGGAAGCTGTGGCGGCGGAAGTGTCGAGAGGCGAAGGCATACATGATGGCCAGGACCAGGAGCAGCACGACCCCAGTGAAGCCTGCAAAGGGAACAGGACAGGGCTGTTCTCATCAACCAGGGATGGCAGGCGGAGGAGGGGGGGTCCCCTCTCCCTCCTCTCCAGCACCCTCTCTGTCCTCCTCCGGACAGCACTGACCTGAAGAACCTTTCAGGTCCACCACTCACCGCCCTGAACCTTGCCCCTGGGGCTATTTTTGCCCCACAACATCATGAAGCAAGGACCTCGAACTGAGCTGCATCCTCAGCCTGCCTGCCTCCCTCTTTCTCCCTTCTTTCCTCATTTTTTTCTCTTTCACTTTCTTTCTTGCTTTTTAAATACTGAGACAGAGTCTCACTAAGTTGCCGGGATGGCCTTGAACTTGCATCCGCCTGCACCGTCTTCCCAGTAGCTGGGATCACAGGTGTGTGCCACCACACCCAACTACCCTGGCCCTGGCCTAGTGGGACAAGGCTTGGTCTTGGCCCCTGCACCATCCACGAGGTGGCCAATGGACACAGCTTGAGCATTGGCACCATTAGTAAGCTGGGGGGAACCACATAGTCCCTGCTCATTCTCAGCCCTGGGTCCCTTTCTTTTATCAAGGATCCCAGCCAGGCACTGATGGGGGGGGCGGTGTCACAGAAGAGGGTCCTTTTTGGATAATCAAAGAGGAGACAGGCAGAAATTAAGAGGATTAGAGCCCTGCAGAATGGAAGAGCAAAGGTTAAGAAGGGATCTCAGCAGAGCCTGTAAAGTCATAGTGGGAAGGGGAGTGTGAACCCAGCTTTATCCCCTCAATCCCAGAGAGCAGGAATTCCCAAGCAGCCTCCGAAGTTCAAAGCTGAACGTTTTAGGATTCAGAAAGAATTTAAAAGAATCCATGCTGCGAATACAGCAAGTATAGGAAGGGAATGGGCTGGAAATATAAATAGGTTCACAGCTAATAGCTCCAAAGTGGGGGATTACAGAGAGCTAGGCATACGCCCCTAATCAGCCTTTGCCAAGACATTCTATAAGAGAGGGGCTCCTGTCTGGCCTCACAAATAGCCTGACCGCCTCACACAAATGGGGTGCAGCATTCCTCAAGGCTACAGTACAGGTAGGGGTCGTAGGGTGGATTAGTTAGTCCAATGTGGGGAGGAGCTAGTCCCAAATAGAGGACTGGAATGCAGAGTCACCAGAGTCTCTTACTGCCCTGGATGAGTGCCCCAGGCCAGGGGGATGAGGCCTGGCTCCCTCAGGCCAGGGGGCGGGGCTGAGCTAGTTGGGGGCTCTGCTGCGGCCAACAGACCAGAGCCTGGAGGCCTGGGAACTCGGAGTGGAGGGGCTCTCACCTGGTACTGTCTGGAAAAACCACCAGTAATACTTCTGGGGAAGCTCTGACCTGTAGGGAGGGACAGCAAGCGGGGATCCTGAGAGATGCTCTCTGGGGACCCTCAGAGAGGTACCCTGACCAACCACCAGTCTCTGCTGCTTCTGACTTGGGGTTAAAATTTGGGCTGCCCCAGATTTGGAAAGAGGATATGTCTTCCCATCTGCTAGGAGCCCGTGTGTGTGAGTGCGTGCGCTTGTGTGCACACACACGCACACACACACACACACACACACACACACACACACACACATACACATACACTCACCCGTTGTCCTGGAAGAGGCCAGGGAAGAGGCAGGACAGCACGCTGAGCGGGCTGATGGAGAATAGGTACACATTCACCACATGGCCGGCACTGTGTAAGACTAAGGGGGACCAGACAGGCATGGTGATCCCAGGGTATTCCGTAGGGTGCTCATCACCTTTCCCAGGGGAGGATCCTCACCAAACAGAGCTGGGGAGGGAGGGGGCTGGAAAAGGAACCCTGTGGACTGAACAACTAAAAACCTGCTGGTCCTCCCCCAAATCACCCATGAACACGCTCACATAATTCTCAAGCTAAACCACTAGAAGCACCTTCCTTTGATTTTCATGTTTTTAAACGCAGAAACTGGGAGAGATATGTTTTTGCATCCAGGGGTGAGTGTTTGTCAGCAGGAGTCTGGTGAGACACCCACAGCCGAGGCAGCAAGGGCTCTGCGTTTATGACGTGGGGCAAAGAGATCTGATGAGCACACAGACCAAAAAATACCGCAATAAGAGACACTGCCCCGAATCCCCCTCAGGATCCTCTCCAGGCTTTGAACACACTTGTCCCGGTCCTCCATCAGTACTTTCTAAAGTGATTCTGGAAATCCCCTTTCATGATTGTCTTTGTTTTGATCCCTTTGAGTGATCAAAAACCCAGTGAATGTGCTGCCAAGCACCATCTGCTGGAAAGGCAGGGCTAGTGAAAACACAATGCTGTGTCCTCATCCCCTTCATTCACCAGGTCTGGTACCAAGCGGGACTTCCAGCTCCTCCCCAAAGTCGCAATGACCTTGAGAGACGAACATTTTGAATCAAGGCAGTCACCACGGCATAACTAAAGCAGAGGATGAGGACGAGCATAGCTAGGGTCATGGCTTAAGTGCATTCCAAGCAAGGCAGGATTTTGAGGGGGATTCAGAACAATGTGCCTTTTCGGGTAACAGGTTTTAGAATTTAAACATGTGCCTTCTCTTCTAATCACCTGCTGCCACCATACCACAGCTAGGACCATCTGTGTCCTCTAGAATAGAACACCAGGACGATTTACACGCATGGGAAGGGAGGAGAGAGGGAGGGGCCTGGAGGGGCCACCCTGCCTGTGAGCACCATGGCTGTGCCCGCGATGAGCCGGTGGAAGTCCACAGCGGCGTCAAAGGGGATGTAGTGGTTGAGGAAGGTCTCCCGCAGGAAGGTGATGAGATTGCGGCACATGGTGAGCAGGATGTAGGAGAACATGAAGGAGATGCTGGCCGCGGTGCCCCGTGACAGGATGATGCCCACGCGGGTGGTGTCCGTGATGCCTTTGTGGTGGGCGGCAAAGGCGTAGTCTGCGGACAAGGGGAATGCAGGTGGAAGATCAATGATTAGGGACAGTCCTGCTCCTACGTCCTCAGGTCCTGGCTGGCTGGCATCCACCATAGGCCACCCTGTACTCTGACTCCAATAGGTGCTATTCCCTAGGTGGCCTTCACCCATAGCAGGCCCGGCCCTTCGCCTGTCAGTCACCTCAGGCCCCACCCCAAGAGCCTCTGTCAAACTAGGCCCCGCCCCCAGGTCAACAGTTACTGCAGGCCCCACCCGAGGGCTGTCATTCTTCGAAGACCCTGTCTACGGCTGTCACTCATTGCAGGCCCTGTCCCAGAGCCTGCCCATCACTCCTGCGTCTGTCATTCACTGAAGGCCCCGCCCCAGGGCGGTCCTTCGCGTTACTTAGGCCCCGCCCCACCGCTGTCATTCACCTCATGCCCCACCCCTTCCCCGCCCCTCTCCTTGCAAGCCCCGCCCCAGCTGGCGTGCGCAGCCACACTCACGGTGGGCGCGCTCCAGGAACAGCGCGGCGGCGATGGCGTAGAATACGGCCACGCAGCCGATGTGGCGACGGTAGTTCTCCACGAAGCGCTTGAACTGCTGCACCGTCTGGTGGCGGCGACTGCGCTGGAACTTCTCACGGTGTGCCTCGGTAAACAGCAGCGGCTGGAAGGACGTGACCCTGCGGGATGGCAGCCTTAGCCTGGCTGGGGACTTCCTGAGGGTCCCGACTTGGAGGGGGGCGAGGCTTGTCGGGGCAGGGCACCAGATCAAACCCCCTCCCCCTCCGGGCGCTACAGCTGCTCAGGGTCATTCGGCCCCAAGAGGCCCCTTTCCTGTCTGCACTTCCCATCTCCGCCAGCACCCTGGCAGGTTCTCCCCGAGCCCCGGGTTCTCTGACTCCCAGGCAGAGGCAAGAGCCTCCTTGAGCTCCTGCAGTCCCTGCTACCTTCCTCAAGGGGCCACCCATGTGGGCAGGGTCTGAGCAGTGCACGCCCGCTTGATGGAATGCTGACTGATGGATGGCTGCAGGGGCGGCGACTCAGGCATACTTCTTGCCGAACCGCCTTCGAATCTCCTGGGGAGGATCCGTGTCTGAGGGGCACTGCAGCCTCTGCGGGGTCAGCTCCGGCTCCATGATGTTGGGGGAACAGCGGGCACTCACTCTGGGAGAGGGGCTAGGAAGGAGAAAGAGGGCCCGGGCCCCCTCAGCCGCTGGTCCTGTCACACTTACTTTGTAAAGGAAAGATCAAGGGTCTGGGTGGGGAGGACAGCAAGATTCGCACAGGGGCCCCAAAAGGAAAGATTCTGGAGTCCCCACACAGGCCCAAACCTATGCCTGTGTCCACACAGGGACATCTGGGCCAGGCAGAAGTGAGTGCTGAGGTCCACCAAGATGAATCCAGCCAGGGTGCCGGGGCAGTGTCTGCCTAGAGTGCTGGGTGGCCTTCTCTGGGGGGGGGGGGGTGCTGGTCCCAGCCATGCTTCTCATTCCCAGCAGGGCCTCACCAGATCTTGTCCTGGCTGATGTAGGAGGCTCTCCGGCAGAGGTCCTTGATGACTTCCGGCACTTCAACCCCTAAAATGCAGAGCCCAGGCAGGCCTGGTTCAGGAGAGTCCTTGTCCCTCCCATGTGGCAGCTGGACCAGGCCAGACAGTGGGAGGGTAAAGAGAAGGTCCAAAACAAAACTGGGCAAGCAGGCTGCCCTGGAAGTGGGTCTCGGGACCAGCATCAAGGATGGAAGTAGAGTTCAGGAAATGTACGCAACCTGCCTGCAAAACCCCTAGGCCACTAGAACTCTGTTTAAGACCTTCCAGTTTGAAACCTCCCAAGAGTTCAATGTAGAGCGAGGTGGTAGGTACAGGGGAGATCACTAAAGTTCTACTTGCCTCTAAAACTGTTCATAACAAAATACTGGGGGAAGCTCCCCTGCCAGGGGCTATCTACTCTTCCTGTCTAGGCTGGGCACTGGGTATAGGTCAAGACTGAACTGCCAAGCCAGGTCCTTAGGAAAGGTGTTATGGTTTAGATCTAAAATGTCCCCAAAGCCTCAAGTGCTCATAGGGAGGGCTTTTGGTAGGTAACTGGGCTATGGCCACTGATAGTTCACTTGCTTTGAGGAGATGGGGTCTGGTTGGAAGAGGTGGATCACTGGGGGCTTGACCTGGAAGGGTCATCTCCCTCCCTAGATCCTCTCTGACCTCTCTGCATCTTGTCCACCATGCCACAAACAATCATCCTTCTGCTTGCCACCCTGCCATGGAGCCACTGGGCTATGAACTAACCCTCTACAATCATGAGCCAAAATAAACGGCTCCTCCTTTAGTGTCAGGTATTGTGTTCCAGTGATGAGAAAGTAACAAAGACACCCCAAGATAATCCTGGTCTCTAACTCAGGCCAAAGTGTTTAAATAAACAGATAAATGTTTAAAGTAGATAGATGTCTGCCTTCTCAAATGCTTGGGCAAACAGCTAGGGTCATAAAATAGTAACTGGTGGCCGATGGAGGTAGAAGGGAAGGGCTGTTTGCACAAATCTTGCTCTTTCTCTGTAGTTCAAAGTCTTTTAAAGTAAAAGCAGGAAGAAATAACCCAGCAAGGCAATGACTCAAATTTAAGCAAGTCAATGCACAATACTATTTAACTCCCATTCCTGCCAGGCTGGGTGGCCCTGGGTTCTGTGCCTGGCTCCCTTCCAGCCTCTCCCTTGCTCCTGTCCACTGACCAGGCTGCCTGGGTAAAAGGTGAAGCCACAGAATCAGGGTTCTGGGGCTCCTCTGCCAATGCCCCCACACCCAGGGTCAAGGCAGCCCTGGCCAGAGATGCATCCCCGTCTTGTCAAACTTGCTGCTGTCACAGCTGCCTTCTCATAATTCTGGGAGCAGCTGGGTTCAGTCTCAACATGCCCAGTGAGACTCTCAGGCTGAGAAGACACTGTGACAGCGCACGGCAGGCTGCAGAGAGCTCTTCAACCGCTACCTACCTCCCCCCCCTGCAGACTCCACCCACTTGAGTCACACAGGTGCAATGCAAGTGTGGGAGACCAGCACTGAGCCTGGGGAGACACCTCCCGGGCCAGAACCAGCCAGCCAGCCAAGAGGACTGGGGCCAGCTCAGGTAGGGTCATCACAAGGAAACACTTTCCCCCTGGCCTGGACACCTCACCTGCAGGGCATGGGCAGGAAGCCAGGGAAACAGAACTGTACCCCCATCTCCCGCCCACCCTGACCCCACGAGGCCTTGTCACCATCCTGGGCTCCTATCATGGACAAGACAGACAGACACTGAACGATTATGTTGGTAGGAGGACAGAGAGGTCCCCCACGTGGCCCCACCTCTGACACAGAGCTGTGTGAAGCGCAGCTCGCTGTCGTGGTCCCGCAGCAGGAAGTGGAAATCCTCCCAGGTCAGCTCCTCCTTGTCCTGGAAGCCCGCCTCACGGAACATGGACTCCACCACCTCGGCCAGCTGGGCCTTGGACAGGCAGTTGTTGGAGATCTCGATGAAGGACCTGGAGGTAGGCCCCAGATCAGCCCATCAGGTCTCCAGGATAAGCAGAAGGCTCCCACTTCCCCTCTAGCCTTCTGCTGTCCCTCTTCTGTCCCCTTGTCTCCTGGCTGTCCTAGGGGACCCACCTCAACATCCTGATGAACTCGTCCTTGGAGATGAGGCCGTTCCCGTCAAAGTCGTACATACGGAACATGAGGCGAGACTTCTCCTCAGGGGTTCCTGGGGCAGGGGGGCCACAAGGAGCACTGCAGCCCATCTGCCCAAACCACGGGTACAATAACCCTTGCAGCAGAGGACACTCTGCTTCTACCCCTACCTGGGTCCCCCAGGCATCAGCCATGGCTGGAGACCTGGCCCCCATGCTCCCTACTTCCAACAGGTCAGCCAGCCTCCACCTCGGGTCCCCATCTCCCCCCCACCTTTCATGAAAACCACCAGGATGTCCAGGAACTCCCGGAAGGACAGGTAGCCATTGCCGTCCTTGTCAGCCAGTGAGAACATGGACTCCACAAACATGTCCTGCGGTTTCAGGCCCAGGGACTCTGCAAACTCAGCCCTGCTCAGCTCGCACGTCAGGGCCTCCCGCACCTTCTGGGAGGAGTCCAGGGGCAGGGTCCCCGCATCCGCCTGGTTGATGTCCAGCACCTGCACTCGGGCAGCAGCAGAGGGAGGGGGAGAAGGGTCAAGGCTTCCTCGCCCAAGAGACCAGCAAAGTCACACTGTGAAGCTTTGCCTAGCGGCCCCTGCATGGTCCCAGGGACCATATGTATGGTATGGAGTCCTGGGCTGGGTCAAGGAGGGGGTCTGGAAGTGGAACTAACGGGTCCCAGATTTGTCTTCACTTGAACACCAGACAGTTTGGAAATCGTGGAGCACCCTTGCCATCCTGTGCTCAGACACACACAGTAGAGTAGAAACGGAACACTGAGGCAGCCCAAGAGGCGGCCTTGTTTGTTGACTGCCTCCCTTCTGGGTTGCGGTCTTGCCTTGGGGTTCCTGAGAAAAACTGGGAGCTCAGAGTCAGCTGATCCCCTGTGAGGCTTCCTCCAACTCAGATCTAACAGAATTTTATCAAAAGCAAGGCTTCCTCTGGCTCAGGAAGACAGCTGTCATCCTGGACTGTCTGGGAGCTGTGCCCTAATGGCAGATAAGGCCACAGGCCTCGGTACCTGCCTTTCCTGCCTGACAACTGCAGGCCTCACTCCAAGCCTATCTGTTGATTCTGAACCAGCTTCAGATAAGGTGCCTTAGTGGAAAGAGCCCGGGGCTGAGACCTGGGTTCACATCCCAGCTCTGCCACCTGCTTACTGCATGGCCTGGGGCTTCACTTCCTCACCCGCCCTACTTATCTCCTAGGGTTATTGTGAGAACAACAGGTTGTGCAGGAAATGTTTTGAAAGCTGGGAGACCGCAGCAGCCCCCAGAGATCGCAGGCACCCACGTCATCATCCCCGAGCAGGGGCTTCCCAGAGAAGCCCCATCTGCCCTGGGATCTGGTCCAAAGCTCCTGGGCCCTTTGCGCCCTCAGCCCTCAGCTTGCTAGAGGGTAAATCCAAACGACTAAAGGCTCCGTAAAACAGTAGCTTGAATCCACACGAATCCTCTCCCACACTGGCCCTCTCAGCTCCTGCTCAAATATTTACTTTTCATCCATCCAGAGAGCAGCTCTGCTCACTCCTTGCTCCTCCTTCCTGTGGAGCCCTGACTTTCCCGATCTCCCCTCCACAACCTTCCTCTACCTTCACACAGCCCTTTCCCCACCACCCAGACAAGGCCACTCGGGAACTGCTTTCCTGCCCTCACCAGTCACTGTCACTGTCCTCTTTTCTGTTCAGGTCCCCTCTTCCCGGTGGGCCGACAGCAGGGAACCAGGCTGCACTGCACCCTACCACGCTGCTCCCCCTCCTCTGCATTTTGTGTTTTTGTTTTGCACCCTGTGAATTTTCCTCCCTAGCTAGGGACAGGACTCTCACGGTGGTGGGGGACACATCAACTTATGCTAAGTTTTAGAAAGGTTAGCCAGGAACCCAGGACTTCCAGCTTCCCGGGACTCGCCATGGCTTCCTGCAGGTCAGAACACCCCACAGGTGCAGTCATACACAGATGGGAGTCCGCTACACACCTGGGAGAAGAGATGCCTGAAGAAGGTCCCCAGGAGCTGGCTCCTCTGCTCCCGTGTCACTGCAGCCCTCAGCAGCTCCTGTTCCCGGAGCTCCCACTCCTGGAAGGTCAGCCCGCTCTCCTTCAGGGCAGCCCGCAGGTTTCCCACCAGTGCCTGCCGCTCCTCCTCCGTGGTGAACAGCAGCACCTACGGGGCAGCAGGGTGAGTGCAGCGCCCACCTGTGGAGGGGGTCAGGGGAGACCCTGCAGGAGAAAGCAGCAGTGGGCAGGCTGACATGCGGACCCAGCCCTTGGGGATGAGAGCACAGAGCCCCTGCTCTTCTCCAATTGGGAAGGCAGAGAGGCCAAGGATGGAGGAGACCATGAGCCGGGCAGGTGGAGTCTACAGTCAGCATCCCAGTGTGGCTTCCCTTCAGTACCCCCAGAATTCACTAGGTCCTGAAATAAAGGGGTAGGGAAGAAGGCGTGGCCTCTGCAAGACACCCCCAGCCAAGACCTTGGAGGACAAGCAGGGAGCTGACCCTGCCTGTGGGAGTGGGGAAAGGAAATCGCCCTGGGCAGGACAATGGTGTCTAGATCCCACCAAGTACGACAGGTAGGTGGTACCCTGCCTCCCTCCCCCAGCCCGTACCAGGTCGTACTCCTTGGGGACCTTGAGCAGCAAAGTACGACGGCCACGGTTGCTGGACAGGACGAGGTGGATCTGTTGTGGGGGCCGCAGCTGCACAGTGCGGAGTGTGGTGAGCCTGCCATCCACCACTCGGACCTGGCCAGGCTGCAGGTGCACCCGCACCGGCCGGTTGGGCTCCTTGTGGCCCTGCCACTCCAGAGCTGCGGGTGACACAGCAGGGTCAGAGGCACCCACAGCTGAGGTCAGCACCAGGGGCCCCCAGCTTCTTGCCCCCTCCCTGGGCACTGAAGAGGGCCATCTGATCCCTGAAAGTCCTGCTTTGCTTCAGCCCCCAAGGGAATGGGGACAGCCACATCCTGAGTGACACTCAGTGTGATTCTCTGCACAAACCTAGGAGATTTACAATTATTCCTACATATCAAGAAGAAAAACATAAAGTAGAGAGATTTTTAGAATCTGCCATGGTCCAGCTTCTACCTCAGGTCACTGTGGCTTCCCGCTACCCTGCCTGCCGCCAGCCCTAGAAAGGGAGCCTTGTCCCAGTTCCTGGTCCTCGGGCCCCAGGTCTACCTTCCACGCCCTCCACCAGCTTCTCTGACATGATACTTTGGCGGTTCTGGCTCTGGAGCCTCTTGAAATTCCTCATCCGGAGTCGGGCCACAATCCAGGCACTGAGCAGGCTCACTGGAAGAGCAGAAGCAGAAGGACACTTGGGGACATGAGGACTGGGGGGACGGCCTGGCTCCCACCCCAACTCCTAAGTCTATGCTCAGTCACTTCTGCTTGAAAGGACCTACAGGAGGAACCACTCTGCGTCCCTTGTGGGTCTTGGTGGCATCCAGACACCTGTCCATCTGGCCAGTGTCACTGAGTCCTGCCCCTTCCCAGACAGAGACAGGGTCCAGAGCCCTCAAGCTACACGTCCTAGGCTCAGCCTGTGGGGCTGCTGGTTGACCCTGACTCGGCCCTACAGAAGACTGAAGTCCCAAACCGCTACCAGCAACTTGGTCTGCCTGGGCCTGCAACAACCCCTGACAGGGCCCCTGGCCCAGGATCTTGCACACGGCTGTGGACTTTGGACTCCCCAGGCTCCGGACCAGGCTTGGCTGGGCCCTCAGGGCTCCACAGAGAATGGGGAGGCAGATCAGGGAGCTGACTCTATTTGGCTCACACTCTACTCATGCTCCATCCCCTAACAGGTCCTGCCCAAAGGGACAGCACCTGGCATGGCTTGCGGACTAGAAGGCCCTCCTCCCTAGCCTGCACCTCAACCCCAGTCTTCTCACCTAGGGGGAAGCAGCACAGGATCCCAATGATGAGCCCAAAGCCAAAGCCACTGTCCTTGAAATAGTCCCGGATGACAAGAGGCACGCAGGCTGGCAGGCCCTCAGTGCTCAGCTGGCCTGGCTGTGGACAGGGGTCCCCTGGGAGGTAGAGGAAGGCAGACCCTGGGCGCTGGGCCACAGAGGAAGCAGGGAAGGGTGGCAGGAAGGGGGTGAGTGCTCCAGGGAGTAGGGGACAAGGGCTGTAACCCTTGGCACTGTGTAGCAAGACTGGCATTTGCCTCCCGGATAACAGAGGGGTGAGAAAAGGAGCGTAGCCTCTGGCTCCTCATACACACACACACACACACACACACACACACACACGTGCACACATAGCACTGCCCTTGACCAGGTGGCAGGCCAGGGTATCCCCCTGCACCTGGCCCTCCTCACGCTATTCCAGGCCCCCACCACATCCCAGCCGAATGCAAGGCCCGTCTGCTGGTCTCCAGGAGCCCAGATCGGACCCATACAGCTGCCCATGGTAGCCCCCCCGGCCTGCACCCCAGATCCTAAGGAGAGAACCACAGGTCACTGGGCTCAAAGCCGGATCCAGCGCCCTCTAGCCACTCCAGGTCACTCACCTGCAACCCAGAAGAACACATTGGGCTGCAGGCCACTGATGTCCACACCGGTGACAGCCACCAGGACCTCCCTGAAGGACGTGTTCCTGATCTCTGCGATCTCTTCCTCCGAGAACAGCCTGAGGATGGGAAGATGGGGCTGGGAGAGAGATGAAGGTGGCCAAGCCCAGAGAGGAAGAGAAACAAGACCGAAGGAGTAGGGAGGCCTGGCATCAAGGCCTGGGAGGGGTATCTAAATCTAACGGTGGGGGGCCCCCCCCGGCCAGCCTTACCCATTCCTGGTGTTCTCAAACCAGTAGCGGTCGCCATCCCGAAGCCGCACAAACTGATCGAGGACGATGGCACTGAACAGGGGTCCCGGGTCCCCGTGGCTCTCCAGGAGCCCCCCTGGGAGCAGCTCCAGGCGAGAGAGGTCCTGGTGGTACAGGGCCGCTGTGGCCTCCAGCACCTGGGACCAGGAAGACACACATGTGAAAGAGAGGGCCCAGCACCCAGCCTCGGGCAAAGCAGCAGGCCTTGGGATCAGCCCCAGGACATTAACAGGAAGTGACCGGAAGAGCAGCTCCCTAGAGCAGAGTGCTTTGGTGCCCCAGGCACCGCCTTGAGCGCCCCACAAAGCTAACTCTTTATGGAAACCTTCTCCTAACTCCACTGCCGCAGACTGCCAGCCTGCTACAGTTTGCACTTAGAAAAAACATGACAGTCGAAAGGGCAAAATCAGAGTTACACAGTAGATCATGTGTTGTAAATGATTTCTGTTTAGAGCTAAAAATGTTTTCAAAAATCAAATACCAGCCCAATGTGGTGCCACATGCCTGTAATCCCAGCATTCCAGAAAGCTAAGGCAGGAGGAACACAGTTAATTCAATACCAGCCTGGAGCCACATAGTCAGTTCAAGGTCAGCCTGGGCTATGTAGCAAAACCTTGTCTTAAAAACCACCAAAATAAACAAGTTGGCCATGGTGGTGGAGGCCAAAGGCAGCCTGCTGGCTGGCAAGCAAAGTGGCAGGTGCAGGGACTCCCTCCCCGTTTAGTCAGGAGTTGGCACACAGTAGGTGCTCAATAAATAGTGGCTGGATCTGAGAACGCAGAGTCTGAAGCCAAAGGCTGTTGGCCTGGTCACCTCCATCCTGAGTGTGAGACTGGGAGGGTCCTCACCTGAGCCCTATGTGTCACTGCCCATCTTCTACATACCACAGTGTGCTGGGGTCCCCTGCCCTCCCTCCAGTCCTGAGCCCTCCTCACTGTGCCGTGGCTCCGAGACAGGGTGGGGTTGATGTCCTCCCAGTGGGTGATGGGGGGCAGCCCCAGAGCAGCCCTGGCCCTGGTGTAAGAGGGCAGCCCCAGATCCCGGCCTCGCTGCAGACAGCCAGCCAGATGGTCCATGCGGGAAAACTTCAGCGACCCAGGCCAGAAATCTAGCAATAAGAGACCAGAGGGCGAGTGGGGAACCCAGCCTGGAACATCCAAGCTACACAGAGAAAGCCGTGGTGGTGGTGGTGGTGGTGGCGCCAGGCTCCCAGCCCAGGGCACCCTCCCTGCCCAGCCCTCAGGGGCCAGAGGCCCACAGCCTGAGGGGAGAGCCTGGCTCACCTCTCATGTCTTCTACCACCACGTGGTCCTCTTTCTCAGCCAGCTGGGAGGCCATGCCCAGCAGCAGCTCATCGAAGTCCTCAGCGCTCTGGAGATTCGGGTTCTTTGGGAGTGGGAAGTGGCAGAGACGGGGTTAATGGAGCTGAGGCGGTCAGGCTCCTCCACCACTCAGTCTGTTGGCTCCTCCTTGGGCCTTTGCTCCCAACAGGTGGATTCTCCCCTCAGATGAGTACTGCTCCCATCCCAGGTCTGTGCCTGGTGACAGAGCTCTCCCAGCACTCGGGTCCCCAAAACCTTCCTTTCCCCTTTGGGGCCTTGCTTGATTGGCAAAGGCACCAGAGCATCCACATCAGTAGACGTGCTACCAACTAGCTGCGGGGGCCTTAGGCAGGCCACAGGACCCCTCAGAACCAGTCTCCTCCTCTTAATAAAACGGGCCTGGGGGTACAGCTCCACAGTGCCTAGCATGGCCAAGGCTGCGGTTCACACTTGGGGTGACAAGGTCAGTGAGCTCCATGACTGAGTTTGTACCTTGCTCTTGTCTCCTTGGTGCTCAGCCTTTCTCCTTCCTTTCCAAACATCCACGAAGTATCTGACTTCACTTTAAACTCACAATCAGTGCTCTGCACATATACTGGCCTGGCTTGGATGGATTCACTGTATAGTCCAGTCTGGCCTTGAACTTGCAGTGATCCTCCTGACTCAGCCGCCCAAGGGATCTCAGGCATTTGCCACCATGCCTGGCAAGGTTCACTCTTGACCGTGTTCCTGGGGCTGCCTCCTTCACCCCAGCCCATCCCAGCTGCTGCCTCAGCCTACTATCCAGCTCTCCACCTGCTCTCAGACACACACACACCAGACCTCCCACACTCACACAAGTGTGCCCCCAGCCCTGACCTCTCGGCTCCAGTAACTGTTGCACATACGCAGAGCTCTGGAGAAACTTGAATTCCGATTGACAACCTCTCGGAAGTGGCAGCTGCTGTTCCTGAAATGCAAGGAGTAGAGGAGAGGTAACCAAAGCCACCCGGTCCTTGGTCTGAGTGTCAGACACCAGCAACCAGAAGCCCGGCTGCTCAGTCTACACAGTGGTGTGGTCAGGCGAGCTGACCAGCAGGTCCCCAGCCAGCTGGCTTTTGGAAGATCCCTTCCCACCCTAGATCAAACATCTAAAAACGCAGTCCTAGAGCCTTTGGTCTCTTTCTCCCTCATCTTCTTGCTCCTTACTGTCCTCTCTTTATTATTCAAGGATCAGTGACCCAAAAAAAGGCTGTTCATTTACAGTACAGAAACAGTTTTTAAAAATACATCTTGTGGGCCAGGCATAGCTCAGCGGCACAGCACCTGCCTGTCAGGCATGAGACTGTGAGTTCAACCCCCAGTACCAAAAAATAAAATAACATAACATAAAATACACCTTCACTCTGACATTGACTGAATCTATGGACCTATGAAGCTATGAAGTGTGTTAACATGGAGTCGTCCTGCCCCTTTGTGTGTGATAATAACATCTCACTGTTTTGCCCAAGCTGGTCTCGAACTCGTAGGCCCAAGTAAATGGTCCTCTTGTCTCAGCCTCCAGAATAGCCGGGACTAATGCACTCAATAAATGATACTATTATCATTATTATTATTATTATGAGACAAGGTCTCATGTGATCACCCAGGCTTGCCTTAAATTCCCAGCCTGAACCTCCCTCTCATCGCTGCCTCCTGAGTAGCTCGGACTATGGTACAAACCGCTGTACCCAGCTATGTAGACACATTTTTAAACGATTTACAAATTTTTCTTTAGAAAATACTCCTCTTGGGTAACTCAGTAGCATATGATTTCTCGGCCACCACCAAACAAACCCAGAGATTGTTATAGAGTGAGCAAATCTAATCTATGAATTGCTTTAAATTATACTGCAACTGCAAAAACAAAATTCAAGAAGCCAATGTTTCATCCATGGTTTTTACTCAAATATTCAATACTCAAAAATGTCTTTATTTTAAAGTTCCTTTTGTATTATTTTGGGGCCAATATTTTTCTTCAGACTGCACACATTTTTAAAACTCCTTCCCCAAAATTTGTAAATCCCAGGCCTTGTGCTTATAGCTAAAAAATGCCCCTGAAGTTCAGGCTGGGGTCTTCATGAAGTCTCCATGACCTAAGTTTCAACAACTCTGCTCTTTACCGGAGAACAAATATACCCATTGCAGAAGAACGGATGAAAAGTGTTTACAGACCACAGTGACCCTTTTTTTAGGACAAGCTTTCCCCTCCCATCTGCATTCACTGTTTCACAGGAATGGGAGTGCTCAGACTGGCAGCCCTGGCTGTGCAGGAGACTTCTTGGGCGGCTCCCTTTGAATGCAGAACAATTGTTTCAGCATTAGTTAAAATAAACCCTGTCCCCAAGTACTGATGTGTACAGAGCTGTCTATGCTATTTCCTTCTTCCTTCAATTGGCTCTAAGCAATGTTAGCTGAGATACTGATGTGTACAGATGACAGTTTTCTGTTTCCTCACATTATGTGCCCTATAAATGGCTGAGCACAGCCAAATGGCAGAGCCACATAGCTCCAGGAATGTCAACTGGATCCAAGCCTCAAGATAAAAGGCCACACAAGTTTACACTTCAGACACTGAAGCAAGGCCAGCCTCCTAAATCATTCAAATGCTGTGTTCTTCACCAGATTATAATTCTGGTGAGGCTTTGGATCAAGGCCTTTGTTCTCTGAATCCACACTTGGGCCAGACTTGGAACCCCTTGGCTGCCCATCACTATAAATATGTTTTAAGGTTTTTATTCTCGCCATGGGTTGCTCTGGAGGTGGTAGATTAGAATTTACTGCCAGGATTCCAATAATATCCTCTTGGATTCCAATAACATTCTCTTATTTTTTTTTTTTTTTTGGTCTTTTTCCTTTTTATCGGTACCCGGGATTGAACTCACGACTACCTGCTTGCAAGGCAGGTGCTTATGCCGCTGAGCTAAATCCCCAGCCCCAATATTCTCTTATATTTACAAATATAAAATTTCTCCATTTACAAATATAAAATTTCTTGTCTTCTCTTGGAGACAAGAAAAAAGATTACAAAATACAATTATTTGGATTATAATAGGCTGGGGGCTGCTGCACCCAGATTTTCCTCCACTGCGACCATTGCCCCCCAAAACACACACTTGAGCCCCTGTGTACCTCATGTACACTCCAGGGGGCACCATGGTGGAGAAGAACTGCTCTGAGGCCACCACGAACTCTGGGGAGACACTGGGGTCCAGAAACGGGCGGTACCCTGGGGGCAGAGAAAGAGGGCACACCATTGAGACTTTAAGCTCCCCACGCCCACAGATAACCCCCAACCTCCTGCAAACCCTCTCTTCTCCCACCCTCCCCTCACCTTCATACTCTGGGGGTGTCTTCCCCAGGAAGCTGGGCAGCCACTCGTACATAGCGATGCTCTGCGGGTCACAGAGGGCACAGAGAAGCAAGGCGTGGGACAGCTGGGCAAAGAGGAGCTGGCGCTCACCAGAGAGGAACCCCACAAAGGAATGGGCACCCCAAAACCAGAGGGTGGAGGAGGGGTGATCCTTGCCTAAGCAGCTCTAGGTTCCCAATCACCTTCGGGGGCTTCACACACACACACACACACACACACACACACACACACACACACACACACACGGGGCCGGGGCCGTGGGCCGCGCGGACCTGGTAGGTGGCCACGACCCTCTTGCGCGCGTGCTGGAACAGCTCCTCGTCGCCCCAGCGCGGGTGCTCCCGGGCCAGCCTGTCTGCCCACCAGTTGTGGAAGCGGAACCACAGCAGCCCCAGCGCCTGCACCAAGGGGTCGCGGTTGCCGCGCTCGGCCCCGAAGGCTGCGGGACGCGGGGGGCGCGGTGAGCGGCGCGCTGGGGGGAGGGGCAGGGGCGCCCTCCTCCGCTGCCCCGCCACTCTCGCCCGCACCCGCGTACCGTACAGCCCCCGGGGCCCGCCCTGGCCCGTGGCGGGGTCCGGCGCCGTCCACACGAACTGGGCGTCTTGGGAGCCGCGCGGGAAGGCGGGGTCGCGCCCCGACGCCAGGCGCCCCCCGGAGAAGCTGCGCAGCGCGTCGCTCCGTGAGTGCGCGGACCCGTAGATGGCGCTGCCGTCCAGCCAGCCAGTCACCTGGTTGGTCTGGGGAGGCAGGCGGGCGGGGGTCAGGGCCGGCGGGAACCCCGGCTCCGCCCCGTCCTGGCCCAGCCTGGGCCCCCGCGGCCGCTCGGGCCTCACCAGGTCCCGGGGGTTGCTGGGGCTCTGTCCGGTCTCGGGGTCCCAGCGGCTCCTCTGGAAGGGCAGCACGACGTCGCCGCGCCCGTCGGGGTCGAACACGGGGTCTCCAGGTGGGATGCGGATGTTGAGGAACTCGGCGGGGCAGCCGGGGGTGTCGATGCTCACCACGTCCGAGAGTACATGGTAGCCTGGGGACGAGTGGAGTGCGCGCTAGGTCCCCCGGGGCTCCCTGCCCTGCCCTGCGACCAGCCCGCCCCTCTGTCCCCGGCAAGCTCCAGTCAGAGCCCCGTGCTTCGCCGCCCAGGCCTCTCCTGGCCAGCGTGCTGTGCCCGCACAGTCTGAATGTTGTCATCCCGGTCTCCTTGGTAACCAGGAGGTGCCCAAGTGAGGGGTACCCTACACCCGTCCCAACACGCAGCTAGGAGCTCGGGCTTCAAGAGTGTCGGACACTGATGAGGAAGTCACAGAGCATCCTGCTGGCCACCTGGATGACCTCCCCTTAACACTTGGGGCCACAGCCCTTCCTGTGCTGGTCCTAGCACCCGTTGGGCCAAGAGGGCTCCAGGAGACAGCCTGCCTGACAACTTTCAAGGCCCTGCCTCTGCCCCACCCTCCCTCCGCCTGCACCCCCACCCTGCCCAACCCATGCCACACCCCCACTCTCAGACCCTCATTGTTCTCTGACCACTCCTAGGACAGGGAGGGGTGCAACTGACCCCCTCCCCCAGGCCTCTCTCCCAGAACCCTAGCAGGCCCCAGCACAAAGCAGAGGTCCTCACCAAAGAAGACGCCCAGCACCGTGCGGTTCCGCAGGGAGGCCTGGCCTGCCACGCCCCGCAGGGCGGTGTTGCTGAGTTTCCGGGCATTGGGCAGGTGGGGTTCTCCCAGGGGCTGGTAGACACCATCGGCATAGCTGGCTGGGACTAGGCGCCGCAGACGGGAGCCTGGCATGGGAGAAGTAAGGGGCAGAACTAGGGATGCATTCTCAGAGAGCAACTGGATTTATCTAGGCAGTACTGGGGATCCATCGAACCCAGGGCCTTCAGGACCTGCTCTACATCCTCATCCCTTTTTATTCTTTACTTTGAGATAGTCTCACTAAACTGCTAAATAGCACAGGCTGGGTTTGAATTTGCAGTCCTCCTGCCTCAGCCTCCCAGAGTGCTGGGATTATAGGCCTGTGGTAGCACACCTGGCTCAGCAGCAATCTTGCCTCCCTTACTCCCAGAGTTCCCTCTACACTATGATCCTAAAACTCTGGGAGTGAGTAGCCCTCCCCCTGGAGGGGCAGGTACCACCCCGACCCTGGTTCTCTGTCCTGTCAACTGTCACCTACCTTTGCTGCCCCAGCTGTGCTCCCTGAGGTTGTTGTACCACCCATCATACCGCTGCACCTCCCATGAGATGGGGCCCGGGGCTCCTGGAGGAGAAGAGGAAAGTCCGTGTGCAAGGGGCTGGGTAGCCCAGGGGGGAAGGCAGGGCAGAGTCCCAGCAGGATGCGGCACCTGGTGACACATGGCCCTCAAGAGGAGCACAGTGCCTATAGGGAGGAGGACGTGACCACCAGATCCTGGGGAGCACAGCAGCACAAAAGCCATGCCCAGTCCAAGGATGCCACACGCAAGAGCCTGCCACACCCATACCTGAGCAGGACAAGTCATTCTGGGCAGGGCAGTGCCATTTGGGGCCTGGTCCTCTCCCGCTGCCCCAGGCAGGGGTGCGGTGCTGCTGCTCTGGTTTTTTTCCCAGTTTCCTGGGCTGGACTGGCAACTGCTCTAGTCATGTGGATCGCCTTGCCCTCCTCCCCTTGAGACATCTGCTTCGCATGTAATTTTTGCTCTTGATTCTATTGTACCCTGCGAGAACTAGGGTCAGAGCAACCGGAGGTGGGGGAAGAGCTTTGGAAGGGGACAGAGGAAAAGGCCCGAAATCTGGAAGGGTGGGGATCCTTCTGCGCAGTCAACCAGCTGACCTGCCCCGAATCCTCTCCCCCAAACTAGAAGTTTCTTCTTCTGGTCAGAAGGTAGAGGAAGGAAAAGGACTCTTAGAGGGAGACCCATTGCTATGATTGTCCTCAGACAAAGGATGGTCCACCCACGCCCACACACACAACTACACAAAAACACACATATTGCCAGGGGCTTGGGGAGGGCAAAGGACCCAGGCCCTGATGTTTGAATAAAGAACCTGGCTAAAGACCCAGGTTTCAGGGCAGAACTAGGACAGCTACACACGTGATCACTATGACAAACTGGTGGCAGAACCAGAGGGGACTGTTGGGGGCAGTGTACAGCAAGAAGACAGGTTAGAGGAAGGATGTCAGGGCTGGGGAGCAAAAGAAACCACAGCCTAGGAAAGGAGAGGGCCAGGAGGAATGACAGTGTGTGGCCAGGGAGAACTTCAGGGACCACATTCCCGTCCTGTCCCCCCAGCCAGCCTGGATTCTTCCGCAGGGCTCCTCTGCTTCCTGTTTTTGCATCTCTCCTCCCTAATGAGTGAGGGCTTCCTCTGTTTAACCTAATTTGTGGTACCTTAAGCCCACTTCCCTCCTCAGAGGCCCAGGCTGCAGGGAGCAGCCTCCGAGTGCAGGGGGGAGATTGTCCAACGCTGAAGATAACAAGAGGAATCTCAGATCACCTGAACTGTGGGTTTGATCATGCTGTATAAAAACATTGGTAATTCTCTTTCAGCGTTGGGAGTCTGACTCGGGATTCTAATCAACCTTTCCCTGTGGCAGGTCAGGAAAGTTTTATGAGAAGAGAAGACAGAGGCGAGAGAAAGCTCCCTGCCAAACTGGAAAGAATGACATGGGAAATGGGTCATAGTCATTTCTCCATCCGGATGCCCTAATTGTGTGTACTTGGCAATAACTTTCATTCCGTTATCCATCCATGTGTCCAACATGAGTACCATGTACAGGGACCAGGACACAGGGATGGCTGTGACACAGCTGTTGTCCTCAGCGAAGCCCAGAGGGTGCTGGGTTTCCTGTCCTATTCGCACTTCTCCCCTAACCTGTACTTACCCACAGGGGCCCATGGCCCAACTAGGAGGGCCCACGCCACAGCCAGGTGGAAGCCCATGATGCAAATATGACTAACGGCTCAGGTGTCAGAATCCCCCACAGAAATGGGCACCTGGAGAAAGAGAGGACAAGATACTGACTACCAGCCATTCGGGAGAATCAGACCAAGGCCCCCGCAGGTCTCTGCGAATCCAGGCTGCTGCGGGCCAAGGCTGGAGTGAGTAGAATAGAACAAAAGATTTACTCTTTCCCTAGATCCATTCAACAGACACTTAATGGGCATCCAGTGGGTATGGGAGGCACCAGAGCTGGGTGAACAAAGCCAACAAAAGCCTGTTTCCCATTGGGTGGAAAGCCTTGCTTTTGGCACCGCCACCCGTACACGTGGGACCTCGGGCAAAGCCCTGTATCTGATGGGACCCGAACTGTTTACTTCCCAGCGTGTCTGCCAGAGTCACATGTGAGAATGAGGTTAAATTCAGAGGGAAAGACAAGTGTCATGCAGATTGTGACACAGAGAGAGGAGGCTGGAGTCATCCTCCGGGCAGACTCGGGGGTGGAGGAACTGCCGCCCAGACGGTTATGTTTTAGGGCTGGCTTTGTGCCCTGCTCCCCAACTCCACAAACTAACCCAGGAAAACCAACGGAAGCAGCAAGTGGCCCAGAGAAAGCCCGACTCCACTCTTCGGGGCTTCTGGACCCAGGAAGGGGAGTCCTCTCTACTTCTCACCTTCCCTTACCTACGTCTTAAAAGCCTAGGTCCTGCCAGCGTGGTACCCCGTGCAGCCTGTGCAGCTGCCGGGATGCTGGCCTTGGGCCATTCACACAGAGCTCAAGTGGCCACAGCGGTCCTTCCCCTCCCCTACTGTCATCCCTCGGGATCCAGGGCCCCAAACCCGAATGTACTGTTCCTTGGCAAGGAGCATGGAGCAAGCCTTCATGGCAGACTGAGGAGTGCTGCAGAGGAGGGTGGGCAGCTAATAGCTACCCTTTGTGGGTGGTGCCCTTGCACTGATTTGCCAAGCAACGCAGGGGCATAACTCTCCCAAAGCGTTGGAAGGAAGGCTCAGCCCCAGGTGGGGCGGGAAGCCTCAGGCACGCAGGCCTCTCCGCTTCTGCCCCGCGTGGCCGCTTTCCCAGCTTAAGATCCTACACCCTGACCCAGAGGTAGGTCAGCTTTCGATGAACTAAAGCTACAGAGATTCCAACCTGTTCCAGGGAGCCTGAAGGGTACAGCCTAGACCCCAGGAGCCAGAGTTCCTTCCTGGCGTGCTGTGCTCCCCAGAAGGAGCTCCTCCTAGACCCAGGAGACGAGGTCTCCCTCATTACCGTGACCGGCACTCTAGTCTCCCCAAGCCTTGGCGAGGCAGAGCTCAGGCGCCAGCAGGCTCCGTTTCAGCCTTAGGTTATCAGGTCGGGAGCCCTTCCCTCGAAGCCTGGCCACGGCGGGGTTCACTCCCTAGCCGCCTGACTCAGGAGCTCCCTTCCCGCCTGCACTGGCCCCTCGGGGATCTGACCTGGGTTGCTGCCGCCGCCTTTGTTCCGAGGCTGCAGATCCGCTCCCAGTAGGCTCCGACTCCAGATCGCGTCGGGCCGCCTCTCCAGCGCCGAGCTAGGCAGGCGGGGCTTGGGGCCAGGGCCGGGCCGGGGCCGGGGCCGGGGCGGGGCGGCGAGCGGGGGGCCGGGGCAGCAGGGTTGGGGGTGGGGCTAGGGGGCGACTAGGGTTGGGGCGCTGTGGGCGACTAGGGAAGGAAGAAGCGGCGCGTAGGGGTCGCCCAAGGTCCCCACCCCGAAAGGGAGGGGCGCCCGAGGTGCGGCAGCGTGGGCTCACGGGGCTCGGGTGGGGTGTCCGTCCCGTCCCGCCGAGGGTTGGGCTCTTGCAGCCTCGTGGGCGGAGCGAAGGGCGAGTCTGCTCCACAGGTCGGATGGGCCGCGCGCGCCCAGATCCTCACCACCCGGTTGGTCCCCGGGTCCGCGCTGCCGGACCAGGAGTCAGCCGGGCCAGGCGTCACAGCGAGGGAGCAGTCAGTGGGACCCCCTCGTCCAGCTTCCTGGGTGGGATCTTGGGGATCACTGCCCTGCGAACCGCGCGTGCCAGACCGGACCTGCAGAGCTCGATTGCCCTGGGCCGGCCCAGGTGCTGGCGTGGGGTAAGAGGAACAGAGATCGGGGCTCCAAAGGATGCTGCGGGAGTGAGGGGCAGAGATTGGGGTCCAGGGGATGCCTCGAGGGTGAGGAGTTGATATTAGGGGTCCAAGGAATGTTGCGGAATAAGGGGCACAGATCGGGGCTCCGAGGCATGCTGCGGGAAGCCACACAGTAGAGGGGTCTATGCGCGCTGAGCCGCCCAGTCGGAGGCTTCATGAGGCGCATAACATTCAGACCCGGTTAGTCCGGCCACAACCTGGTCCTTCATGGAGCTAGGAAAGAAAGCAAGGGTGCACGCGCTTTCGGGGACCGAACATGGGCATGGGATCCCTTTGCCCCCCCCCCTTAGGATCGCGGCGTGGGAGCGAGGTGCACGGGGAGAGGCGAGCGGCTGCCACGGGCGCACCCACCGACTGAGAGAGGGGAGGTAGGGAACCGGGCCGGATCGGGTGCTGGTGAGGCTGCGGGTCCTGGCGATTAGCCAGGGTTAGCGGGCGGCCTCGAAGCGCTGTTCCTGCTCTGACCCCCAGGGGCGCACGGCTTGGGTGCACCCAGCGCTAATTCTGATCAGGGAGCCCTGGTTCAATCTCCTGAGCAAAGGTTGAATCTCCTGAGACCACGGAGGCCACAGGACTTGCAGACCCTGAACCCTCATCCTCTCCTAACTGGAGTCTAGGTGGGTTGGGCTGCAGGACTCGCCACTCCCGAGCTCCCGACCACATCCTGCCGCGACACTTTTCAGTCTTGTTATTTTTCTGCACTAAACTGCTCCTTTAGCGCAGCAGGAACGCAGGGTGCTCTACCGCGGAACTACACCTTCAGCCTTTTTTAGTTACTGAATTTCTAATTTGAGACGTAGTCTCACTAGATTGCCCAGACGAGAGGGTCTCAAATTTTCTGTCCAACTGCCTCAGCCTCCCTCGGTGCTGGGGTTCAGGTGTGCACCACTGTGCCTGGCCAGAGCTGTAAAATTTCATTATTTTTCCTTTTTGAGGCAGTGTCTCCCTACGTAGTCCAGGCTTTCCTTGAACTCCTTATGTAGCCTAGGCTGGCCTGGAACTCACAGAGATCCTCCAGCCCCAGCCTCCCGAGTGCTGGGATTACAGGCATTCCACCACCCTTGGCAAGAACTGTCTCATTCCAGTAACTAGGCACTGCCCGTTAGAGCTCCGGGAGAATGAAGATTTGTCACCCACGCCTTTCCTAGGGACTCTACAGTCTTGCATGGTTCCCGGAAGACGGGGAGCTAGGCAGGAAGTCCTCAGGAAGGCAGTCTCACTGGCTGCAGGAGAGGCCACCAAGTGCAGATAGCTCATGGCTCCAGTGATGAAGACCAGAGCTTGCATTAGGCTGAGTTTTCTTCACTTCATCTTACACCACCCCAGACCAAGTGGGGAAAAAGAATCCCTACTGTGGAAGTTGACCCATCCCAGTGAGACACCACCCCAACTTCATTGCAGGTGCTTCCCAGGTGACTGTTTTGCTGAGCATGACAGTCTGGTCTCTGATGTATACACCTACTGTGTCACCTGGGTCAGTCTGAACTGTGTGTGCACCTGGTGCTGTGCTGGGGCAGAAGTGAGTGGACACCTGACTTTGGTCAGATTAGAACCCATTCCTCTGTCAGCCCTGCTTGATAAGCCAGGGAGGAAACTGGCCCCAGGGAAACACGAGTGGGTGGGAGGATAAGGGCATTTCACCAGGGCCACTATTCAGGAGGGACCCCAAACCTTTTTTTTTTTTTTTTTTGAGACAGGGTCTCACTGTGAAGTTCAGGCTGGCTCTCAGCCCACTTTGTAGCCCAGGCTGGTCTTGAACTTGCAAAAATCCTCCTACCTCAGCCTCGAAAGTACGAGGATTACAGGCATGTACCACCATGCCCAGCCCTGTAGCTTAACGATGAACAAATTAAGATTGAGGTCATGAAAACTTACCTTCAAATTAGATAACACAGGTTAAGGAAATTGTGGTCCATGAAAGTAAAGTGATAAAGCAGACAATTTATTCACCGATTGCCTTTATTTCTCTAGTCATATTTAATAAATATTTGGGAGAAATGGAAATATGTGAACAGTGCCCTTCTGTATTTTGGATATGGAAAATGTTTTATTAGAGTTTCTTTGAAGCATATTAATAGAGAGAAGCCAGTCTTGTAAAAAAAAATTTTATAATCTTTCATTAAGATAAATGCAGGAATAATACTTTATGTGATCCTGACCCAAAATTACATTGTTAATTATCTGCTTACATTGCAAATATCTGCTTTTGAAATTCCAACATATCATAAGGTTGCTATTAACAGCCTGCTTCATCTGCCTGTCTCGTTAACCAGGATATTCTAGATTTTATAGCCCTTCTTCCTATAGCCTTTCATAACAATATAGTGGCTTGGGTGTCATAAATAAAAAATAAAAGAACTCTTAGGCCAGTAAATATCTGCCTTAAGATAAGTGTCACTAGCATGTATTTTACAAAATAACTCAGAAATTCCTAGTTACTTGCCTTCAGCTAGGATTGAGATGTATGTTTCATCTTCTCTTAAATGTGAACATTCTTGCTGGTCTTTGCTAGTTTGGAGACTCCGTTTATTAGAAGTGGCTTCTAATAATTTTTTAAAGATTTTTTTTCTTAAATCACTGAAAATTGAGACGATTAGTAGAAGCCTGAATATTGGAACCCTGCTGGGGATACTCAGTTCAGTTTTATATGAGGCAGAGCTCCCCCTTGTGGGAGAAGTCAGAAGCAGCCACCTGTGAAAGAATTCATTCCTATTCATTTGATCCAGATTTGCCACCAGACAGGGTTGGGGGGGGGGGAAACCGGAAAGATTAAGTATTTGCCCTCAAGGAGATTAGAGTCTAACAAGGATACAATGTCCACCAATTAGAGTACAGTATAATTGCTATGATCATGCAGATACGCTCAAAATCCAATTAGAGCATTAGAGGAGGGAACTTCCGCCTTGGACTCCGGCATCAGAGGAAGAGCTGCAGAAGAGCTAAAACAAGCTGAGGCCTGAAGGAGAAAAGGTGTTTGTCAAGGGACAAGCGCATTCCAGGCAGAGCAGGCAACACACACAAGGGCTTGAAGGAGGCTTGACCACCGAGCGTGTCAGACTCAGCCAGCAGCGAGTGTGGCTCTGGGTTAGGCTGGGCCATGCATGAGCAGAGGTGGGAATGGAGGGATAGGAAAAGGGGGCCAGACCCCTAAGATGTTTAGATCTGACTCCAGGCAGACAAGAGTTAGTTATTAAGAAAACTATTCTGGCACCAAGGGAGACAATGTGAGGCTGAACCAAAGCAGAGGCTTTTGGGAAAAATATGAATCATTTCAAGGCATATTTAGGAGATAACATGGTCCTGCTCTGGCTTAGTTGACTCATAACTAGTGGTGCTGCCAAAGAGATACAGAGACTAAAAACAATGGGCGGACAGTGAATTCAGTTTGGCACCTGTGTTACCTCATTGCATCATTTTGCAGTGCTGGGAGGGGCCTGTCACATTCGAGATATCAAAGAATGTCCAGGGGAGATTGTTGGTCTGCTAGATATTGGAGTCCAGGGGGACTTTTGAGAACCATCAGCTGCTGCAACCACTGGGGTTGCCCAGGGATCCAGAATCCCGGGAGCAGGGAAGAAGAACTGCAGAAGGGCCAGGGAAGCGATGGCACAAGCCAGACTCCCAGGGAAACACGAGGTCCTGGGCATGGGGGAGCTAAAAGAATGAACAAAGAGTGTGTGTTCTGCAGGCCCGCATGCCATGGGAAGTTCAAGAGGGGTGAAAAGTGGGGTGTTCCCTTTGGATTTTTCACTTTGTGACATCATGGGAAAGGCAGGCAGGGGTGAGGACAGTGATCACATTGGATTGGATCGAGGAGACAGCGCAGGAAAGCCCGACAGATCATTCTTTTGAAACAGGGTGGGGTGTAGCAGAGGGGACCTGGGAGACCCAAAGAGGTCTCTTTGTACTAAAATGGGAGACGTTTGAAACTGTGTTCAGGAGAAGGAGCCAGACCCCAAAGAGAAGCTAGAGAGAGTCAGGGGACAGGGGATAACTGAGCAGAGATGGAGAAGGCGGGCAGGGGTGGGGGTGGGGGTGGATCCAGGAGGTTGGATTTGCCCAGCTGGAGAGAGAACAGAGACCTGTTCTCTGAGAGGGGAGCATTGAATCCCCGCATTCAAACTGGAAGGGACCTGGAGATCATTACATCCAGGACAGAGGGGGAAACCACAGAGCAAGCCGACTGTCACCTGCCTGGTGTTATGATGTCAGGCACTGGAGACCTGCGGAGACCCAGACAGAACGGATGCTGCCCCAGGCTCTAACAGTGATGGCAGGCGTGGATGGGAAGGGTGATACAATGCCCCTCCTTCCTGCTCCGTAGCTTTTAGTTCTCAGTACTGCTCTGGGCCCTTTCCATGCGCAGTCTCTCGGCGTCCTCATGATGACCTGTGAACAAGGCATCATCTTTTTCCAGTAAAACCAGGTCTCTGGGGCTGGGGATTTAGCTCAGCAGCATAAATACCTCCCTGGCAAGCATGAGGTCACAAGTTCAATCCCCGGTACCAAAAACAACAACGAAATCCAGGTCTCTGTAGAAGTCAAGGAAGCTGGAAGAAAGTAGAGATAGAATTCAAACCCCCTGGAATTCTTGGCTCCAAAGTTTGTTCTTTTCACTGCAGTGCTTAGCAAGAACAACATCAGATTACATTATGGAGCCTCCTGGGCTCAGACCCCAGTGTTGATCACATTTAGAAACATGCACAGAACTGTGATCCTTGATTCGAAGTGCTTTGTTTTTTAAAAACATTTTGACATCTGGGCACTTGAGGTGTGTCTTGCCAACAATGGCTGTCAAGGTTTAATTGGCAGTGCCTTGTTCCCTCCTTTATTTGTGGCACACACAGTCATAGGCGTGTTTCATGACCCATTCTATCTGAGATCTAACTAAACACAACAAGTTCGGGTACCACTGCCCACTATCTTATCTCCAAAGGGACAGACTCAAGTTGAAACTGAGATTAGAGGACAGGCAGGGAACTCCAAAGCTGGTGTCTGAGCTGAAAGCAGGCCCGGGGATCTGCGCAGAGACCTGTGGATAGAAGAGCAACTGGCCCAGCCCCCTCCCCGCCTGGTGGAGGCCAGGTGCCCACCAGGTGCCCTTGAGTAATTATTCAACCGAACTGAAGTTCAGTCATTCCCAAGTCACCGGAACAGGAGCCAAGGTATCTGAGAAAGCTGGACAGGCCAGTGTGGGCTGCTGCAGGCTGGGGATCTATCCTCTGATGAGTAGCTGGACTCAGTCAGCACCAGAGCTTGTTGGTCTTTGTTCTTTGAGAGGTCTGAGGAAAAAGGCAATCCATTTGTCATCTGTCCCTTCTCCCACCCTCACACCTCCGCTTGGTAGGAAATTTAGCTCTTTTTATGCCCTGCAACCTATCTGTTTGTGCTTAAGGCCTGAGAGAAATAAAAGCAAATTGTATTTCTCAAGAGGGTCCTGGAAAGAACAGGGAGGCCAGGGAGGCCTCCAGGGCATGGACAGCACTGATGTAGAGGAAAGCGGGTTAGGAGGGGCGCTCAGGCTGCAGACAGCGACTGCTGTGACCCTAATTCTGTCGAGCTGGAAGATAGTGAAAGATAGGGCTGAGGGTCATTAGGGAGGTTCTGGCAGGCATTAATGGTAAGCTCCAGAGGCAGGGACTGCATCTCCAGCACCAGCACCGGTGCCTGGCGGATGCAGGACGCTCAATCCATTCAATGTCGTGGTCAGCACTGGCTCCCTGCACACTGCCGCCACGATGGCTGCTTTGGGACACACCTTCCCCTTCTACACCGGCCCCAAGCCAACCTTCCCAATGGACACCACCTTGGCCGTCATCATCACCATCTTTCTGACTGCCTTGGTCACCTTTGTCATCATCCTGCCTGGCATCCGGGGCAAGACGGTAAGAAGCAAACCCAGCCCTGAAGACCCCTCGAGTGAGGGGTCCAGACCCTGTCTGCAAAGGGGCTCAGGGAAGAGGGCTCCCCATCGTGCACTGAGCGGACAGGTGACCGCTGTCAGGCCCCAGACACCACCACCACCCCTCCTCCTTGATCACCATGGGCCGTGTGGCCTTAGCTGTAGAATTCCCACCCCTGCCCCAAAGGAAAAAGCCACGGGGGGGACATGGAAGGAGGGTGCTGCTTTCTAACCACCCTCCCTGTGACTCAGAGGCTCTTCTGGCTGCTGCGGGTGGTGACCAGCCTGCTCATCGGGGCTGTGATCCTGGGTGAGTGTCCACCTCTCCTACTTGGGCAGCGGCCCCTCTTCTCATTTCCCCATGAGTTCCCTGCTTCCTACTGGCTCCCAGATCTTGCCCAGAGAGTGGCTGCCTGGATGCATCTCTACACCTGTCAGGATATTTTTATTTTGGGCATAATGATTGCTGGCGGAAGGTCCCTGGGACAGGAATGGAGGTGACCAGGAGAGCGGCCTTCCTGGCTTTAGCAATCAGGCACCCTGGACAGACAGAAGGTGTCCATGCTGAAGCTGTGTTTGCTTGTGATGGTTTACTGTAATGCTTCCTCCCAGGTGCTAGTGACGGTCCCTAAATGTGTGTATTGGGGGTGCAGAGTGTGAGTGGGAGAGAGCTTGGATGGTGTCCCATCTTTTCCTCCCGCATGGGTGGTTGGCAGGCTTCCTAGGAGCCAGACCCTGGCTGGTTAGTGGGTCACAGGGATGGCCCGTCCAGGCAGGCATGCAGCCCTGTAGCTCTCCCGACAGCCCTCCCTGAGTTCCTGTGTGTTCACCTCCCAACCCCAGCCGTGAATTTCAGCTCTGAGTGGTCAGTGGGTCGGGTCAGCACCAACGTGACCTACAAAGCCTTCAGCCCTGAGCGGATCAGCGCCGACGTGGGCTTGCAGGTTGGGCTGGGAGGAGTCAACATCACGCTCATTGGTGAGCGCCCTCTGGCCTGGGAGGGAGGGGGGACCTGCTCTGTTTGGGAATCAGTTTTAGCATGGTCCAAAAAGCTGCAGTGTCCCTGGCCCTGGGTTTAGGAGGACCTGCGGGTACCAGGAGTCTGCCAGCTGGGATCAGCTCCTGGCCTGTGCCCAGGGTAGGTGGCACCCAGCCCAGGAGAATCCATGCTGCAGCCCATGGGTCCCCATGGAACACAGCCACCCTGCTCCCCCAGGAACCCCAGTACAGCAGCTGAATGAGACCATTGATTACAATGAGGAGTTCCCATGGCACCTGGACTGGGACTATGCTGAGGAGTACGCAAGAGCCCTGCGGAAGGGGCTGCCAGACCCCGTCCTCTACCTGGCCGAGAAGTTTGGTCCCCACAGCCCCTGTGGCCTGTACAACCAGTACCGCCTGGCAGGACACTACGCCTCCGCCATGCTGTGGTGAGTGGGGAGGGGAAGGAACCTGGAGGCCCTGGCTGTCCCAGATGGGACAGAATGGCATCTGTCACCATGGTGCCTGGTTGGCAATCCCCACTTCATGTCACTGGGGCATCCTCCGCCCCTCCAGCCTCCACTGCAGGTAGAGGTCCCAGCTGGTCCTCATGACTCCACTTTGCAGGGTCGCGTTCCTCTGCTGGCTGCTGACCAACGTGATGCTGTCCATGCCTGTGCTGCTCTATGGTGGCCACATGCTGCTGGCCACGGGCATTTTCCAGCTGCTGGCGCTGCTCTTCTTCTCCACGGCCACATCCCTCTCGCCACCCTGTCGCCTGCACCTGGGCACAGTGGAGCTGCATACCCAGTATGGGCCTGCCTTCTGGATCACGCTGGCCACAGGTGAGGCTCAGTTGACCACTTATCCCCCTCCCTGGGGCTGTGGCCAGAGAGGGAGGAGCAGGGCTCGGAGGGCTGGTGAGGCTGAGACTCTGCTTCCAGGGGCCACGTGGGCACTAAGACAGCCACCTGCCGCCTGTGTCCCCAGGACTGCTCTGCCTGCTGCTGGGCCTGCTCATGGCAGTGGCCCACAGGGTGCAGCCCCACAGGCTGAAGGCCCTCTTCAACCAGAGCTCTGAGGACCCCACCCTCAAGTGGATCGCAGAGGAAGGGGAGCTCCTGACCCCCTGATACCGGCCCATGACCCAGAGCCCCGAGCCGCAGGACATCCCTCTGTCACAGGCTTCTTCAGAGACCTGCTGCCAGGAGCAGCAGCCTGGGGAGCCCAGCTGTGCTCAGTGATGCCCATGTCACTGTGGGCGGCCCCCTGGGTGGCTCTTCATTGAGCTGTGTGGTGGCACCAGAGCCTCACCTCCCAGGAGCCCACCTACTGATGCCAAAGAGAACAAACCCCAAAGCCTCTATGCTCTGCAACCCTGTTGCTATGGTGACAGCAAGCCCAGCCTCTATTTCTGCCCAGTAGCTGCCTTTCCAGGGTGCTGGGCCTCCTCCGGGTGCTATTTGCTGAGACTCTGCCTGCCTCACATAAGTGTCTGGGTGTTCGTGTGTGTGTGTGTGTGTGTGTGTGTGTGTGTGTGTGTGTGTCCTCTCTGTCTACACCGGAAGGAGATCACCAGACATCTCATCCTAGCTCCAGCGTTAACCACATCCTCTTTGATCTTCAGGTCCCAAATAGACTCATTAAGACTATAGGATTTACCAACGACATTTCAGAAAATAAAAGTCCCCGGATTTACATTTTTATGCCTTGCTGACATCTCCCTCGGTCCACAGACACCACTGCAAAAGAAGGCAACTGGGAAGAGTTATTGAATCCACTCCAGGACCTCCTTCAGCAGGGTGGAGAAGGGGACCCAGACAGGAGGGAGGGTGACCTGCTTGGTCACCCAACTGCCACTCACCCATCGCAGGGCGGCTCAAGGTTGTTTCCGCCACGGCGTCACTAGAGGGCGCCTTTCCAGGGCCTTTCTGGGTTTCCGGTTTCGCCCGGGCAGAGAATGATTAGGACGCAGAAGTGGCTGCCCCAGCCCAGTGAAGCCTCCCGAGGGCATGTGTTGCAAAGAACCCGGGAAACTATGACAATTAGTGGTCGAAGGGAGTTTTTAAAAATAAAAGAAGAAAGTTTATTTACAGCTCCCTCATGTGTGCACAGCGCAGCGTCCCCGCTGCGCGTCCCTCAGTTCCACCTGCGCGAGTCCCTCGGGGTCCCCCGCCCACTGCCCGCCGGCTCGCGAGGTTCCAAAGGGGTAAAGTCCGGAGCGGGGGGGGGGGGGGGTGGCGCCCGTCACAATTTAGTGGTGATCTTGAAGTCAGGGGGCGTGAACTGCTGGTGCAGCGGGTTGTTGAGGACGAGAGCCGAGCCTGACCTCGCCTGGCTGCGGTAGTCCGGCGGGGCGCTCTGATCCAGCGCGGCGCGCAGGGCGCTGGGCCAGGCGTAGTGGAGAAACACCACGGCCCCTCCGAGCAGCAGGCACAGGATGCCTGCAGGGGGAGACAGTGGGGTGATCGGGGGTCCAGACCAGAACCCGGGTCTGTTCCTTAGTCTCGGAGAGCTTTCCTCTCGAGTTTCCGCGCCATCACTCCTCCCACGCACGCGCCCACTGTAGACAGACCTCTAAGGCTGCGGGGTGCGCGCCTACTCGGCCAGCGGGGCAAGACGCTGACCCCTTCCGGCGTCCCCTCTGTATGTGACATGGGCATAGTGGCGCACACCTGTAATCCCTGCGCTCCATAGGCTGAGGCTTCTGATCACCGCGAGTTCGAGACCAACCCGCACTAGCTAGAGAGACCCTGCCTCAAAAACCAAACTAAACAACCTACAACCAGCGCCCCTCTGCCCTCTGAGCTCCCAAAGGGTCTGTGATCACTTTGTGGACTGGCAAGCGCGCGCTCAGCCCGGTTCTCACCCGTGGCCAGCGTGAGCCAGAAGGCGGTTCCATAGCCAGGCGTGAGCGCGGCTGAGCCGAGGCGGAACCGGCACAGGGGCACGCTGGAAATGGAGGCGAAGGAGAAGACGGCGAGGAGCGCGAAGCCGCCGGTTACCAGGAGCACCAGGCCCCCGTAGAGAGGGACGGGCATGAAGAGCAGCACGTTGGAGATGATCCAGAAGCAGAACGCCACCCTGCGGGGACGCGCGGCGGGCGTGAGCCGGGCGCTCCGGGCCGGACGGAGCTCCCGCAGCCTCGCTCCGCACCGGGTCTGGGACGGCAGGGGGCGCCGCAGGGTCTCCAAGCGCCCACCATCCAGGCGGACCCCAAGACGCTGCAAGCCCGCTCGTGCCTAGGGTGGGCGCGGCGAGCCCCGGACCCCCGTGCCCCGCTCGGCGCGCCCCATCCCGCTCACCGCGCTCACCACAGCAGGGCCGCGGCGTAGTGTCCCGCCAGCTGGTACTTGCGGTACAGACCGCACGGGCTGCTGGGCGTGAACTTCTCGGCCAGGTACAGCACCGGGTCCGGCAGCCCCTTCTCCAGCGCGCGCACGTACTCGCGGTGGTAGTCTTCGTCCAGACGCCAGGTGAACTGCTCGTTGTAGTCAATGGTTTCGTTCAGCTGCTGCACCGGGGTCCCTGCGGAGCAAGACGGAGAGTCTTCAGGACGTGCTCCAGGCCAGCAACCGGAGAGACGAGTCGGTTCGGTTCGAATAGGGGAAGTACAGTGGGGATGGGTTTGGTGGTGGTGCTTTTGGAGCCCGTGAATGAGCAGGTCCCCCATTTCCCTCTGCCCCGGAATTCATTTGCCCCTTCTCACCTTTTAATGTGATATTGATGCCCACGAGGCCCACGCTCATGCCCACACGAGCTTGAACACGCTCGGCACTGAAGGCTTTGTAGGATGTGTTGGTCCACACGCTGCCTACGAACCACTCCCCACTGAAATGCACGGCTGTGGGAGAGGCACGCGGTGGAGACAGGCTTTAGCGAAGTGGATTGGAGGGGGCAGAGAAGGCGGTCTGGAGACCCGCGGTGCTTGCAGGGCAAGGGCAGCAGAAGGGCCACTCGGAAGAGCAGCAAGCAAAGTGGGAAGAGGTAGTAGTAAAGAACCCCACTTTCCCATTTTCCCTGTGCCCGACCCCACTTCCTTCCGGGGTGCACCACACACTCACCCACAATTTCTCCCCCTATGAACAGACTGAGCAGCACTCTCACCAGCCAGAACCAGCGCTGCAGGTAGAGCCACTCGGGTCAGGATGGGCACTGCCCGAGGAGCCGCAGACCTCTCCTGACCCCACTCCACCTCGGTGTGGTTGCATTCCTGACCTCTGGACGCTGAGGTCGGTGTGTGTGCCCTGCAAGTCCCCTGAGCCGCTCACATTTCTGGTCCTGTGCTTCCACCTCTCCAGCCTCATTTGCACATCCGCCCAGCCTGTCCAATCCCGCTGCTTTCTTGCCCCCAGCTGCCTGGTGCCTACCCCTGCCCCCTCCGGGACCAGGCACTGCCCCGATGAGTCCAGAAGTGCTAGGCAGGCAGAGGTCACCTCCCTCAGAAGAGGGAGGTCAAATGGAGGGGGTGGAAATGCTGTCAGGCTTAGCTGCACCCGTTCCCTGGGAAACCAACAAAGATCAAGACTGGGGGCTGGGAGGGGGCTGCACACACATCAAGCCAACACCAAGGGGAACAACAGTCTGTGCTGCTGGCATCTGTCCCCTTGTCCCAACGGTCAGCATGCAGCCCTAAGGGAGACATAAGGCTCCTGCAGCACAATTTTACCCGACCAACCTGGCGCCTTTCCCGCAGCAGCTCTCTCATTGTTTACTTGGGGTCCCTCTCCAGGAGATCTTGGATGAGGGGTTCTCTCCTCGTCCTTGGGGAGTGGTGCTTGCTGCACCGAGACCATCAAATTTGCTCCTCCTGACCTTTACGGAGAGCCCCTTCCTCGTTTGTCGGCCACCCAGGACGCCCACACCGTGAGCAGCGCTCTGGCTTCCCCTTACCGAGTGGCCTCGGATCCCAGGCAGGATGAGCAGGAAGCTGGCGGCCAGGAAGCAGAACACCAGGATGACGATGAGCAGCGGGACGCTGAAGCCCGCGGCGTGTCGCGGCTGCGGGTAGAAGGGCAGCACGTTCCATGCGGTCATCCTGCCGCGGGTCCAGCGCTGCTGTGCGGGAGGAAGCAGGGGGTCCCAGCCAGGGAGGGCGATCGAGTGTGCACCGCTAAAGAAGCGTGGAGGCAGAGCCTGGCTGTCCTGATGCGCTCCGGGCTGAGCCACCCAGCAGAGTTATTGCTCAGTGGCCGTGGCCCAGCTGCCTGCCTGGCTGCGCTGGCTCAGGAGAGGGACCCAGACTGGTTTTATAGGCTCCCGGACAGCAAGCAGCGTTGGTGTCCCAGCCAAGCCCCAGGGTCCCAGCCCCCGCAGAGGTTATGCAAATGAGGGGTGGAGAGCTATATGCAAATAAGGCCCCGCCTCCTCGGCGGGAGGGAATCCCTAGGTGTAGATATTCACACCTGCTGCCCCCGTCTGCTAGAGGTGGCACCCACGCACCAGTGAGACTGAGAGCCCAGGAAGAAGGCGACAGTGTAACCGGGAAAACCGAGGACCGAGGACTGGAATAGAGGCAAAAACCACCAGAGAAACAAAGATTCCAAGAGAAGAGTCTGAACTGCCGAGGCGAGACCAAAGTTTGGGACCTGACTTTCCCAGCCAAGCTCTTCTTGGGCGGGTGCTCACTGAGGGAGGGTGAGCGAGCTGTGGTCCCAGCTGGGGCTCTCTGGTCTCTCTTTCCTATGCCTCCTGGAGAAGTAGTGTCGGGGAGACTGGAGGGGCGGGGGAAGCGGGGTTCTTAGGGTTTGGGCCCAGCCTGTCCTGCTCAGGGCTGAAGTGTCCCAAGGAGTCCAGTGGTCGAGGTTACAGGGTGAGGGGTGGAAAACGCCTCGGCTGTGCTGGGAAGCCCGGCGTGCGGCTACGGGGGGGGGGGCACTGATGCTTCTGTTTTACTCCGGAAGTGCAAGCTGTCAGCTCACCTCATCCCCGGCCCTGCGGGAGTCGCTGTCCCTCACCACTCACCCGCTGGCTGCGGGTTCGACATGCTCCGTGCAAGACCAGAGGCACTGGTGCTCCTGGGGGCGCTGCTCACTGGACCCCTGGACCCAGCAGGTAAGTAGCAGGTACCCCTAACTGTGTGGTGCCCCCCAGTGTCTCGTGGGAGTGGGGGCAGTCAAGAGGCTCCCCTAAGCTGCAAGGTGGGCCAGATCTCTGCGAGGGTAAGCAGGGTGGGAAACTTCCCAGGGCTGCTTTGACATAGCACAGGCATTGGCCCTGGAGGCCGCCGGGCGTCTGGAGGGTCGTTCGGGATGCGCACAGAGGGGAAGCTGGGTCTCTGTGCCCACAGGTGGCCAGGAGGCGCTCTCGCTGCCCTGGGAAGTGCAGCGCTACGACGGCTGGTTCAACAATCTTAGGCATCACGAGCGCGGCGCTGCGGGTACGTGTGTGTCTCGTAGATCCCACGTGCAGAACCGGGAGCCAGGGAGGTGCACGCGACCCACAGAGCAACTGCCCGGGCGACGAGCTCTTACGCACCTCTAGGGCCGGGTTGGGTAAAGCTGGGCGTAGAGGGAGGTGGCCGGTTACGGTTATGCGCTTGGTGCTTCCTGGAAATCGAGCGCCCCGCGCGAACCCGGCTCGTCTTCGCCTGCAGGCTCGCGGCTGCAGCGCCTCGTGCCAGCCAGCTATGCGGACGGCGTGTACCAGGCGATGGAGGAGCCGCTGCTGCCCAACCCGCGCCGGCTCAGCGACGCCGCCACGCAGGGCCCGGCAGGGCTGTCCTCGCTCCGCAACCGCACAGTGCTAGGTGTCTTCTTCGGTGAGTTCAAGCAGCAGGCGGGGGCAGGGGGGACTGGAGCTGAGCTCGCCTTTGGTGCGAGGGAAAGAGCGAAAGAGATCACTAGGGTCGCTACTGCAGCTCCGCCAAGCTCCCTGGAAACAGGGACCTCCCGGCCCCCACATACACACACCTCGCAGCTTGCAAGCTTGCCTTCATCTTGAAAGGATTTGGGGTGTTGATGCAGGAGTGTTTACTACCAGACTGGGGATTTAGCTCATTGGCATAAGCACCTGCCTTGCAAGCAGGCGGTCGTGAGTTCGATCCTTGGTACCGATTTTTAAAAAAGGGTCTTTACTCTTCTGGTCTTTCCTTACACTTTACTTCAGTGGGGGGATGCCACCGGACCCCTGTCCCCACTTGAGTTCTTGGGGACCGAGTTTCCCAATAGGATTTTTAACCTCTTTGCTCCACAGATGGGGAAACTCTTGCTTTAGCTGTCTCGTTTGATCCTCTTAATACTTTACGAGGAGGATAAGAGGATCTTGTATTCCCATTTTGCATATTGTAACATCGAGCCTCACTGGGATTAAGCAGCGGGTCTGAGCCATCCTTGCACTGGGCCTCGGTGTTTTGACTCTTGGGGACCCTCGGAGGCCACACTGGCTCTGTGTCAAGAGGGTCGGGACTGGGTCACCCATACACTAGTGTGTGCCCTGTGCGTTCCAGGCTACCACGTGCTCTCGGATGTGGTGAGCGTCGACACCCCCGGCTGCCCCGCCGAGTTCCTAAACATCCGCATCCCACCTGGAGACCCCGTGTTCGACCCCGACGGGCATGGCGACGTCGTGCTGCCCTTCCAGAGGAGCCGCTGGGACCCCGAGACCGGACAGAGCCCCAGCAACCCCCGGGACCTGGTGAGGCCGGGGCGGCTGCGGGGCCGGAGCTGGTCCGAGACGGGGCGGAGCCGGGGTTCCCGCCCGCCCTGACCCCCGCCCGCCCGCCCGCCTCCCCAGACCAACCAGGTGACCGGCTGGCTGGACGGCAGCGCCATCTACGGGTCCGCGCACTCACGGAGCGACGCGCTGCGCAGCTTCTCCGGGGGGCGCCTGGCGTCGGGGCGCGACCCCGCCTTTCCGCGCGGCTCGCAAGACGCCCAGTTCGTGTGGACGGCGCCGGACCCCGCCACGGGCCAGGGCGGGCCCCGGGGGCTGTACGGTACGCGGGTGCGGGCGAGAGCGGCGGGGCAGCGGAGGAGGGCGCCCCTGCCCCTCCCCCCAGCGCGCCGCTCACCGCGCCCCCCGCGTCCCGCAGCCTTCGGGGCCGAGCGCGGCAACCGCGACCCCTTGGTGCAGGCGCTGGGGCTGCTGTGGTTCCGCTTCCACAACTGGTGGGCAGACAGGCTGGCCCGGGAGCACCCGCGCTGGGGCGACGAGGAGCTGTTCCAGCACGCGCGCAAGAGGGTCGTGGCCACCTACCAGGTCCTTGCCGCCCGCGGCCCCGCGCGCGCGCGCGTGTATGTGTGTGGGGGGTAAATCTGTGCTTCCTGCGGAGCGGCTGTCCCGAGCTCCCGTGGGTGATTGGGAACCCAGAGCTGCTTAGGCAAGGATCACCCCTCCTCCACCCTCTGGTTTTGGGGCGCCCCTTCCTTTGTGGGGTTCCTCTCTGGTGAGCGCCAGCTCCTCTTTGCCCAGCTGTCCCACGCCTTGCTTCTCTGTGCCCTCTGTGACCCGCAGAGCATCGCTATGTACGAGTGGCTGCCCAGCTTCCTGGGGAAGACACCCCCAGAGTATGAAGGTGAGGGGAGGGTGGGAGAAGAGAGGGTTTGCTGGAGGTTGGGGGTTATCTGTGGGCGTGGGGAGCTTAAAGTCTCAATGGTGTGCCCTCTTTCTCTGCCCCCAGGGTACCGCCCGTTTCTGGATCCCAGTGTCTCCCCAGAGTTCGTGGTGGCCTCAGAGCAGTTCTTCTCCACCATGGTGCCCCCTGGAGTGTACATGAGGTGTGGAGGGCTTGCAGGGCTGGAGGGCTGGCAGGACTGGAGCGCTCTGCTGTCGGATGTGCTAATGAGTGGTCTTGGGGCTTCCACTGGAGAGAGGAAGCAGAATGCAGGGAGCTGGAAACAGCTCCCTGGGCTGGGAGGTTTGGCCTTTGCAGAGGAGCTCAGTAGCTTTCCCAGTGTAAAAGTTTGGGGTGCTAAGTGTGTTATTTTTGGGTACCCCTCTCCTCTCTTTCTCTCCCCATACTGGACAAACAGCCTTCTCTGCCTTCAATAAAGTCCTCTGCCAAATCCCTGCTGTGCTTAGGAATTTCAGCCCCCCCCCCCAACCCTGGCCAACCCCTTTCAGCCCCACTTAGCCTTAGCTTCTGGCTTCCTTCATCACCCACTCGGCTTCTGAATCTCACAGAAACGCCAGTTGTCAATTCCGGAAGGTCCTGAGCACAAATTTCAGCAGCTCTCCAGCGCTCAGGCTCTGCAACAGCTACTGGAGCCGGGAGGTCAGCATGGGCAGGGCAGGGGCTGGGCACAAAGGGTCTGGTCAGTGTCTTCACACAATGGAAAAGCAGCAGGCTTGGTTCTTGCTTGTTGCTGCTATAGGTTGGTGGGAGATGAAGGGCAGGGAAAACTATCTGGGGGCAACTGCTCAAGAGAGTGTGGGAAGAAGTGAATGTGGGGGTCTCATACTCCTAGTCCCTCCTGCTCAGGAGGCTGAGGCAGGAGGATCACTTAAGCCTAGGAGTTCAAGCAACATAGCAAGACCCATTTCAGAGAGACAAAGAGAAAGAGCAAGAAAGAGAGACTAAAGTGCATTGCAATGGTCTGGGGTGAGAAGGTCTGATCTTTGTGGGAGGACCCCACAGCCTACCTTGAATGTTCTGTTTATTTTCAGAACCCCAATCTGAACAGTGCCCAGGAGGTGGATGAACTGCTGCTGGGCATGGCCTCCCAGATTTCGGAGAGGGAAGACAGAATAGTGGTCGAAGACCTGAGGGGTGAAGGCATGGGGGTTAGGGGGTCCTTTGGGTCCTCGTGGGCAGAGCTGGGGTCCCCAGAATACAGAGACACAGACACGAGCACAGATATCCAGCAGCCAGTAGAAAGGGAGTGTGGAGGGTTCTTCCTTACCCTTCAGCCCCACATGGCCCTGGTCTTAACTGTGTCTAAGTGTGGGGAGATGGGGGTCCCACAGCTGAGCCCAGTCAGGTGCCTAGAGATTTTTATCCAGCCCTGAAGGTAAGGAGGCACGGGGCGGAATGTTTTCTGCTTGGTGCCAAAATCCCTCTTGAATTTGAGAGGAAAAGTCTTGCCAGAAAAACTGGCTATGGTGACACCTGGTGACAATGGTCCCCAAACCAGGACAAGGTCAATACAGGCACAGATCTCACACAGCAGTGCAGGGGAGGGGCAGGGATGTGGCCAGGCAGGCAGCAGTGAGCCAGTCCCTCCACGCCCAGATTACTGGCCTGGCCCTGGCAAGTACTCCCGCACGGACTACGTGGCCAGCAGCATCCAGCGCGGCCGAGATATGGGCTTGCCCAGCTACAGCCAGGCCCTGCAAGCCCTCGGACAGGAGCCTCCGAAGAACTGGAGTGACCTCGGCCCCCACGTGGACCCCCAGGTCAGGAATGGTGATGACAGTGGTGGCCGCTGAAGCTGTCCTGTGGCAAGGCTGCACTAAGTCCTTCTGTGTCAGCGTGTTTAATCCTCGTGGGTGTGAGGCAGGCCATGGTGTTCTGTGTGCCCCTCACTGCTCTGCTGTGCCATCACAGAGAGTCATCCCTGGGGAGCTGCCACTGTCCAGCTCCGGGGCCCCCAGCTAGTGTTGGGCATGGGAGGTGGTCCTCAGGTGCCTGACAAGGTCTCAGCATAGTAGGGACACGGGCTCTTATTAGACCTGTGATCACCCCCTGACTACACACAACACACGTGCACACACACTTAATACCACCCACGGTACCCAGGTGTTGGAGGCCACCGCCGCCCTGTATAACCAGGACCTGTCGCGTCTGGAGCTTCTCCTAGGTGGGCTCCTGGAGAGCCATGGGGACCCTGGACCCCTGTTCAGCGCCATTGTCCTCGACCAGTTTGTGCGGCTTCGGGATGGTGACCGATACTGGTTTGAGAACACCAGGAACAGGTGAGACTGGCTGGGCCCCCGACCTGCCTGGACTTAGCCCCTAAAGGCCCTCAAGGGCCACCTCCCCCGTTACGCCTCCTCTGGATCTCTTCCCATCTGGCTCCGCAGAGCTGGGTGGATGGAGGCCTGAGTCCCCTCCTGCCCCTTCCCACCTAGGCTGTTCTCCGAGGAGGAGATTTCGGAAATCAGAAACACCACCCTGCGGGACGTGTTGGTCACTGTCACCGGGGTGAATGACGGGACCCTGCAGCCCAACGTCTTTGTCTGGAATGAAGGTTGGTGGCCTGAGGGACCACGGGTGACAGTAGGCGAAGGACTGAGACCTCGGGGCGGAATCACAGGCTGCTGTCCAGGGAGCCAGGCCGGGGAGGGATAGCACAGGCAGAGGTGGACGAGTGGGACAAGGAAGGGGGCTGTGAGGAGGAGCCAGGTCCAGGGAGGCTGGCTGGGGAGAGTGGAGCGAGCAGAGGGCGGGGCTGCCCAAGGGGCAGCACCTCCACACTGGGCCCTCCATGCCCTGTCCCCCAGGGGGCCCCTGCCCACAGCCCCGGCAACTCACCACGAATGGCCTGCCCCCCTGTGTGTCCCTCACTGTGATTGACTACTTCGAGGGCAGCGGCGCGGGCTACGGCCTGATCATCGTGACCCTCTGCTGCTTCCCGCTAGGTGGGCTTCTTCTCCCTTCTGTCCTCTGCTTCCCTGAGACCCCGCAGGCCGCTCCCTACCTGCCTGCTTAAGGAACCCCTTCCTGGTGCTGCTTCCCGGCCAGGCTGGGAAGAGAAGGGCTGTGGTGGCGGCCAACTTCTCCACCCCACTGGCCCTCTGGTCCCCCGCAGTGAGCCTGGTTGGCGCTGGAGTGATTGCCCATTTCCGGAATCGAGAGCGCAAGAGGCTGCAAAGAAGCGGCAAAGAGAGTATAAAAAAGGAAGTGGCCAAGGACGGGGTGATGGGTGAGCAGGGGCTGAGGGGTGAGGGAGGAGGGGAGACCGGCCCCGAGGGAAAGGACAGGAGGAAGCTGGCTGTGGGGCTCAACTGCTGCCCAACTGTTCCTGCCTCAGCGATGGAGTGGCCAGGCCCCAACGAGAGGAGCTATGCTGTCACCGTCCAGCTGCTCCCAGACAGGAGCTTGCAGGTCCTGGACAGCCATCTGTCCGTGCTCCGCACCGTGCAGCTGCGGCCCCCACAGCAGGTCCACCTCATCCTGTCCAGCAACCGAGGCTGCCGCACCCTGCTGCTCAAAGTCCCCAAGGAGTATGACCTGGTATGGCCCAGCCTACCTTCTGGAGAGAGGAACTCCTGGCAGAGACCTGCAGGCTTGCCCTGACCCCAGAGGCTGCTGTCCTGTCCCGGATGGAAGCCCAGCTCCGGACACTGCAGTGGGGTCTCCCTCTCACCCAGGTGCTGCAGTTTAACTCAGAAGGGGAGCGTGGCGCCTTCGTGCAGCTGCTGCGGGACCTGTGCGAGTGCTGGGCTCTGGGCCTTCGTGTGGCTGAGATGGGCGAGACCCAGCTGCTCAGGGAGGCAGTGACCAAGCAGCAGCGGGGCCGCATCCTGGAGGTCTTCTTCAGACACCTTTTTGCTCAGGTGCCGTGCTCTTGCCCCCTGGTGACCACCCAGCCCAAGGGAGGGGGCTGGCCTGGAATGGACAAACCAAATTCCCACACTTGGATGGCCCTAGGTGTGACCTGGCCTTGCCACACACAAGATCACATCATCTCCCCTCAGGGCCTGCAGCTCCTCATCTATAAAGCTGTGATTACGTCTGTGTTGAGGGTGAGGTGGGATAGTCCATTAGAGGCGTTCTCTAAGGCCCATAAAGGTTGGCCCTGGACCTCCTGCTGTTGACCTTGCTTGGGAACTTAGAAATGGTAGAAATGCAAGTCCTTAGTCTCCTCCCCAGCCAGATCGAGATGGCTGTGTTACTGGCTGGAGTTTGAAAATCACCTTTCTGTGCATCACACCTGGCCTGAGGGTGTCGTACGCATTTAACAAACAGTGGTTCCTCGTGACTTTTAAACTCCTTGCTCATGGCAGAGTCCAGATTCAGGGCAGCCCCGCTGGATTGACATGAGAGCACACATACCTCCCATCTTCCCCTCTGGTCCACCTCATCTACAACCAGCATTGCCCCGGTGTCTTCCACCTCGAACCGCCCCCTCCACTGTGCTACCCTCAATGCCATGGCGCTTGGGTCCCCAGGGACGCGGGCAGGCTCTGAGGTTCATTGTCCCCTAGCCCAGCAGAACCTCGAGCCACCATGCCCGAAGCACCAGGAACAGGGCTCCTTCCGCCTTTCTGAAGTGAACTTTGGGACCTTGCCAACTCTCTGAAGCTTCTCCTTCTCCCCCTCCCTCTGCTGCTGCCCGAGTGCAGGTGCTGGACATCAACCAGGCGGATGCGGGGACCCTGCCCCTGGACTCGTCCAGGAAGGTGCATGAGGCCCTAACGTGTGAGCTGAGCAGGGCCGAGTTTGCAGAGTCCCTGGGCTTGAAGCCGCAGGACATGTTTGTGGAGTCCATGTTCTCACTGGCTGACAAGGACGGCAATGGCTACCTGTCCTTCCGGGAGTTCCTGGACATCCTGGTGGTCTTCATGAAAGGTAAGGCCTGCCTGGGGGACAACAGGCCATCAGAGAGACCCGTGGGCAGGGAGGCAGCTGTGTTCCCGTTCTCTGCCAGGCTCCGCGGAGGACAAGTCGCGCCTGATGTTCACCATGTATGACCTGGATGGGAACGGCTTCCTTTCCAAGGACGAGTTCTTCACCATGTTGCGGTATGGGCGCATATGTCCCTATGGCTCAACCAGGAAGCAGAGCAGGCAGGTTGTCAGTGAGATGACCGGATACTGCATCCCAGGCCCTCAGAGCATCGGCTTCTGTACTGCCAGCCTCGGCCAGAAAGGTTTCGTTAGTTTAAAAAATAACCAAGCATAGTGAGAAACCCAACACCCCTGTGACCAACCAGCAAAGTCCTCTGGCATCGGTGACCACAGTACATCAGATCTTTTACTGTGTGTCCCAAGCAATGAAATGATGGGCGGATGACTTTGGTCTCTGTCCTTGGAGCCCCCTCAGCTTCTCATCCTGAAGTTGCCTTGGTAGCACGGCCCGCTCTGGGATCTGAGGTGGGCTTCTTCAGCTTCCCACATGCTAAGAGATTGGCACATAGCCGGCAGCCCCTTAGCGTCACTCTGGATACTCCCCATCCCAGCCCCGTCCCTCCGCATCTGCCTCACCTGGGCTCTGGCTTCCAGAAGGCCCAGCCCATTGCAGTCCGTCCTTCAGCACTGTGTCACTGTGGCTGAGCTCTCCCTTCTGCCCATCCCTCAGTGCAGGTCTGACTGAGTCTCGGTGGAACAATGCCTGGTGTTTGCTGTACCATCCGGGCCCAGGTCTTTCTCTGCTGGACTTGTGCACACATTTGCATAGATGGTTTGTCCAAGCTAAGGAAAGACCATGGCCACCACCTCGGCCACAGTGCAGTGAGACCAAGTGTGCAGACACGTCGATCCATCTGTGGCCTGCGGTGTCTGCTTCCAGGGTGTACAAGCTGTGTGCAGACACAGGAAGCAGCAGCTCTGCGGCAGAACCCCTGCCCAGCCATCTGATCCCTTCCCTTTCGCTGGGGCTGGGGAAGGGGAGTCTGAGGGGGTGACCTGGAATGCATCCACAAAAGGATGCAAGCCAAGAGCTGGCCGTAAGGGAGGGTGCGGCACCCTGAGCGGCCTTGCAGTAATTAGATGCTGTCCCAGCAGTAGATCCCCATGCTCCAGAGCTGCTTTTTGTAGCTGGTTAAGGTCAAATTATTTCTGCCTTGATTTGATGAGCACCTGCTGGTGCCATTTCCTGGGTCACCGGTGACCACAGTACATGGTCATGCCCTGCCCCTCCCCAGGCCCAACCTTGTGGGTGACAGGCTGCTTGCTCTCTCTTGGGTCCCCCAGGTCCTTCATCGAGATCTCCAACAACTGCCTGTCCAAGGCCCAGCTGGCTGAGGTGGTGGAGTCCATGTTCCGAGAGGCGGGCTTCCAGGACAAGGAGGAGCTGACCTGGGAGGACTTCCACTTCCTGCTGCGGGACCACAACAGCGAGCTACGCTTCACGCAGCTCTGCATCAAGGGCAAAGGCAGAGGAAAAGGTGTGTGTGTGTGTATAAAGGATGTGTTCAGAATGAGAGTTCTCAATGCACAGGCCCTGAGGCTTTTTCTTCTCCGGTGCTTGGTATCCAGGATTGGGCAGGGCATGGTATTCCATGCCACCATCTACACATGTCCAGTCTGCACAGAGGTGCTCGCTGAAAGCCAGCCTGCACGCCACTCCCAGCCGGGGGCATTGTCCTGGCTTGTACATAGCCACAGCAGTGTCACTGTTTTCTTTACGCAAAGGACACAAAAACTGGCACATCCCTGTAATGGCAGCACTTGGGAGCCTGAGGCAGGAGGATCATGAGTTTGAGGCCAACCTGGGCTACAATGTGAGAACTTGTCTTAAAAAAAGAAAAGAAATCAGGCACGGTAGTGCACTCCTGAATTCCCAGTACTTGGGAGGCTGAGGCAGGAGGGTTGCTGCAAGTTCAAGACCAGCCTGGGCTACAAAGTGAGCTCAAGGCCAGCCTGAACTGCACAGTGAGCCCCTGTCACAAAAAGACAAAAAGAAAAAAGAAAGAAAGAAAAGAAAAAGGAAACTTAGAAAGGCTGGCTGCCCCTGTGCAGGGAGTAGTACCTCTTTATCTGATCAAATATGGTGGCACTGCCATCTGCTCAGCATGGAGAAGGAGGAGAACAGGACCAGAACCAAGGCTCAGGACATGACAGGGTCACCAGCAAGTGCCCCCCAACTTACCCCACGGGGAAGCCAGGCCAGACTCCCTTTTCCATTCCAGGTTTTAGAGACGTCTCCAAGCAAAACAGCAACTTTCGGGTCTCTTTCATCACTCGGACCCCAGGAGAGTGGTGAGCAGGGGGCACATTGGCCAGGCACTCCATCCCCTGCAGAATATCCCAGGGAGGAGGAGGGTTGGCCAGTGGGCTGGGCTCAGGCCACCCCAACTCCAGTTCGGGCTGCTGCAAAGCCAGGCTCTCTCCCTGCCACTCCAGACAACAGATGAGCCACTCCTGCCCCACCCAGCTTTGGCCTGGCAGTTCTCCAGGCTGTCAGGACATGGGGTGAACATTTCCTTTTCAGCTCCGGAACCCTGGACCTGGCCCTCCCTGCCTCAGAGACCCCTGAGCTGGGCAGTCCTGAGCTGAAGAAGAGGTTTGGCAAAAAGTGAGTGTTTCCGAGATCTTGGGGCCCACTGAGGAATGGAGAGAAGGCCCAAGGGCTCTGGGCCCTACCTACACCCCCTTGATTTAAAGGAACCATCCTGAGTCTCATTCCATTTGTTCCTGACCCCATGGGGGCCTAGAGGGCTGGGGTGACTTTTTATTCTCTCTCTACCCTGACCTTGTTCTTCAGGCAAAGGGCATGGCTCAGAGGGAGCACCGAGATGGTAGTGAGGGGTCTCCTGGCTCCTGCTGCAGGGGCAGGGCGAGGGCTGCAGAACAAAGCAGGAGCAGGAGGAGGAGGAGGAGTCAAGGGAGGTTGTTAAGGCAGGCAGAGATGAGTCAGGGTCGGACAGGAGGCTGCTTCCTGCCTTCCTCTTATGGCCCATCCTGGCCCTGGAGGTCACCTGGCCTGCCTGCATGGGTGGCCCTGGGGACTCGCAAGTCTTTATGAAATTTAAAGACCCAGGGAGGTCCTCCTCTCTCACCCACCCCCTCTCCTCAAAGGGCCCTGGGGTCGGGCCCCCGGCCGTACACGGAGGCCCTGCAGGAGAAGATGCCGAGGGGCTTCGTGGCCCAGAAGCTGCAGCACTTCAAGCGCTTCGTGGAGAACTACCGGCGCCACATTGTGTGCACTGTCATCTTCTCGGCCATCTGCGTGGGCCTCTTTGCGGACCGAGCCTACTGTGAGGGCCTGGGAAGAGGGGAGCGCTCCCGACCCGGGCCTGGCTCACCCGGCCCAGCTGACCCACCCCACTCTGGCCGCAGACTACGCCTTCGCCTCGCCACCCACGGACATTGAAGAGACCACGTACGTGGGCATCATCCTGTCGCGGGGCACGGCGGCCAGCGTCTCCTTTATGTTCTCCTACATCCTGCTCACCATGTGCCGCAACCTCATCACCTTCTTGCGGGAGACCTTCCTCAACCGCTACATCCCCTTTGATGCCGCCGTGGACTTCCACCGCTGGATCGCCATGGGCGCGGTGCTCTTAGCCAGTGCGCACGCAGCCCCCTAGGGGGACTGGCGAGGAGCCCGGGGTCCTTCAGCCTGTCCCTCCTCCTCTGTCCCTCAGGGCTGGGAGAGTGCACCCCATGTGGCGGCTCTGACGTGAGCCTCTCTTTCAGTCTTGCACAGTGTTGGCCATGTGCTCAACGTCTACATCTTCTCAGTCAGCCCCCCCAGCCTGCTAGCCTGCGTGTTCCCCAAAGTCTTTGTGATTGACGGGTCAGTGCGGGGTCTCCCGGAGCGGGCCTCAGGGTAGACGAGGAGTAGATGGCCGGGACCCTTGCTCCTGCAGAGCTCTGACTTGGGATGGCTGGGAGGGGGTCACTTTGCCCTCCATCCCGAAGGGCCCAGCAGGAAGAAGCTGGCATTCTTTCCCATAGGTATTTGGCACAAGGCTCCTGCTGTCCTGGTTCACAGTCCCTTCACTGGGCAGGCACTTATGGACTGCATTTTTGCGGTCCATCTGGCTCCAGAGATAGGAATGTGGAGATACTGTCTCTTGACAGCTGCGTATGGAGTATTTATTGTGTGCCCAGGAATAGAAGAATGGGCAAAGCATAAGCCCTCATGACTTGTAGAGTAATAATCTCAGCACTCCAGGAGCCAAGGGGAACTACAACCAGGGAGCTTACAGTGATGCGAGAGGAAAGGGGCTGGCAGTGCAGTGGGCGGGTGCTGGGACTGGTGCTGTGCTCCATGGGAACTCGTTGGCCGTGGAAGCCAGGCCAGCAGCAAGAGGCAGCCTGTATGTGACCGTGGTGGCATCCTCCCGCCCTGGTACAGCTCACTGGGTCTCTGCTCCCCAGGTCTAAGATTCCCCCGAAGTACTACTGGTGGTTCTTCGAGACCGTTCCAGGTATTGTGGGACCTGAGGGTTCCCCTGAGGATGCCTCCCTGAACACACACTGGTTCATAGTGGCCATGAGGTTCATGTCCAGCCCCGGCTGCGGCCTCTCCTGGGATGAGAGGGAGGGAGGGCAGAATGGCAGTGCGCTCTGGCGTATTTCAGCCCAGACTGAAGTCCCAGGTTCCTCTGATTGACTTCCTGTCCCCAGGTACATCAGGGGTGCTCCTGCTCCTGGTCCTGGCCATCATGTATGTCTTCGCCTCCCACCACTTCCGCCGCCGCAGCTTCCAGGCCTTCTGGCTGACACACCACCTCTACGTCCTGCTTTATGCCCTGGTGAGGGCCAGGCTGGGGCCGAGAATCTGGATGGGCTGGGAGGCCGGTAAAGGAGGGATCGTTAGACCCAAGGGCTCAGACTGAACCCCTGAGTTCTGTGGCTTCAGACTCAAGCCTATGCCACCAACCCAGGGATTAGGCCAGGCCTGACACCCAGCAGGAAGTGCCGAGGTGGGGGACCCGCTCATGACTGGACCCGAGCTGCACTAACTGGCCGTGTCTTTAGCTCATTATCCACGGCAGCTATGCCCTGATTCAGCTGCCCAGTTTCCACATCTATTTCCTGGTCCCGGCCATCATCTACGGTGGGGACAAGCTGGTGAGCCTGAGCCGGAAGAAGGTGGAGATCGGCGTGGTGAAGGCCGAGCTGCTGCCCTCAGGTACCGGCCTGGCCTGACCTGCGTGCGGAGAACCAGACGTGGGTTCCTGGGCCTCACTGGAGCCTCAGGCCTCCGACATCCTTATGGCCTCACATCGACTTGGGACCCCTGAAGCTTTGCTGGTGGAAGTGCAGCACTCGGAAGGGCTGGGCCTGCCCCTGAGGTCCTGCACACAGTGGGGCACCAGGAACTGTGGGAGGCAGCAAAAGCAAGGCAGGAGGATTTGAGGGTGATTCCGACCCCAACATGGGTGGCCAGGTGCAGGGCGGCCAGGCGGGGAGCCGTGTGTCCTCTCTGAGCAGCACCCCCGTGGTTAGGCAGATGGCCCCGAATCCCAAACAGGGCTCCTGGAGGTGCAGGACAGTGTTAGGTGTCAGAGATCAAGGGAGGGACAGCTGGTGAATTCTGAGGGACCCCATGGCTCCCGAGGTCCCTTCATCCTGCAGGCCAGGACTCTTCTCCAGGACAAGGAGGACAAATAAAGGAGGAGAAGGGCTGAACAGGGAGCAGAGAACCCCAACTCTTGTGTTACCCAGAACACAGAAAGGGAGATGTTCCTCCCGTTTGCCCTGGTCCCAGAGCCCTGTGATACTCCTTGGGCCTCAGGAGGATGGGAAGGACAGGTCAGTCCCTAAGGACCAGGAGTGGCTTCTGATTTTTTCTCTCCCCTCCCCATGACCCCCAGGAGTGACCCACCTGCGCTTCCAGCGGCCCCAGGGCTTCGAGTACAAGTCAGGGCAGTGGGTGCGGATCGCCTGCCTGGCTCTGGGAACTAATGAGTACCACCCCTTCACGCTGACCTCTGCACCCCACGAGGACACACTCAGCCTGCACATCCGGGCAGTGGGGCCCTGGACTACCCGCCTCCGGGAGCTCTACACGCCCCTGACAGGCAATGGAGGTGCCACCTACCCAAAGGTACCCCGCTTCTGGGCCTCTGCTGTGGCAGAGGGTCCCTGCTTGCCCTGCCTGAGCCTAGATACTCCAGCCACCCAACACCAGGCTGGGGGAGGCTAGAGAACCCCAGAGAGGCTAGGATGCCCTCCAAAACTCCTGCCCAATCCTGGCTCAGAGGTGGGGTGAGGCTGGGCCCCCCTCATCTCTCTCTCCTTTTGGCAGCTGTACCTCGATGGACCGTTTGGAGAGGGGCACCAGGAATGGCACAAGTTCGAGGTGTCGGTGCTGGTAGGAGGGGGCATCGGGGTCACCCCTTTTGCCTCCATCCTCAAAGACCTGGTCTTCAAATCATCCTTGGGCAGCCAGATGCTCTGTAAAAAGGTGGGCGTTCCTCCTTCTTTCTTCAGAGGGGGAGCGGGTGGCTCGGTGCTTCCCAGCAACACCATTCAGGGCAATGGAGAAAGCTTCCGGCTCCCAGGTGCTGGATCTGCAGGGGCCACTGACAGCCAGCAGCTGAGATGATGGGCTTGGAGGGATGGAGGGCACAGGTGTAGCCAGGGACCCCTGCTAGCATCTGTCCCTCAGAGGCCCAGAGATAGCTGGTGGCATCTGTGGGTACCTGGGAGTTCCCTGTCTCTCTGGGAAAGTGCCCAGATGCAGGATGCAGGGATCCTGGGCTGAGCTAGCCCCGTGCTCCCCAGATCTATTTCATCTGGGTGACGCGAACCCAGCGGCAGTTCGAGTGGCTGGCTGACATCATCCGGGAGGTGGAGGAGAACGACCTCCAGGACCTGGTCTCCGTGCACATCTACATCACCCAGCTGGCCGAGAAGTTCGACCTAAGGACCACCATGCTGGTAGGCCGGGGGTTGGGGCGGGGGGGTGGTGCAGGCCGGGCTGTCGGGGCTGAGAGTCGGCCCCAAGGCCTGGCTGTGACCCCCGTGTGTCCCCCCAGTACATCTGTGAGCGGCACTTCCAGAAGGTGCTGAACCGGAGTCTGTTCACGGGCCTGCGCTCTGTCACCCACTTTGGCCGGCCGCCATTCGAGGCCTTCTTCAACTCCCTGCAGGAGGTGCACCCCCAGGTCAGTGCGGCCTTCACACCCGGACCTCTGCTCTCCCTCTGCTGGTTGTCTTGGCCCTGAGTCCTGTGCAGCTCAGTTCTGAGCAGAGAGCCCCAGCTCCGGCCCTGGGGTGGCATCGAGGGTTGGAGGAGGACTTCAGCCCCCCAATAGCCAAAGCCTCCTCTTGGGGACTGGGGTAGAAAGCAGACCTTTGTGGGGAGCGAGTGTCTCAAGGATCCCAGCCTCTCTTCTCGCCATCACCCAACAGGTGTACAAGATCGGGGTGTTCAGCTGCGGGCCCCCAGGCATGACCAAGAACGTGGAGAAGGCCTGTCAGCTCATCAACCGGCAGGACCGCGCACGCTTCCTGCACCACTATGAGAACTTCTAGGCCTGCCCTCCCTGTCCCAGGCCGGTGGTCCTGCCCTGGCTCTGCCGCCCACATTGCTGTCAGTGCCTGCTGTCAGTGTCTGCCCCCATGGCCTGTCTGTCCCACGCTGGAGGAGAGGGAAGAGGCTGCCTCAGCCCCAGCCCCAGCCCCAGCCAGGGAGGTTTGTGGGTCGCCAGTCTGCTTGTGCCATCTGTAGAAGTGCAAGTATGCAAACATTGGTTCTTTCCCATCAGCCCTGTTTCTCTTTTTTGCTGTGGTGTTTTCTTGAAGGAGGAGGGAGTCGGGTATCTGAGCTGGAATCCTCCCAGAGCCTAGCTGAAACCCGACGGCCTCCCCTCAGACCCCTGGGCCTCTTCCCTCAGCTCCAGCAAGGAGCAGCCCCACCCCCAGCCTGCTTGGTCCCAGAGGGCCAGGAGCCTGAGGAGGACACCAAGGGACAGAGGTGCCTCCAGTTCTGATGTCCCAGTGTCTGCCCCACTGCCCGCCGCCCTGAGGCCCTGGTAGGCCCTGTTGGAGTTCACTGGGGCGGTTCCTGGGTCATTACAAATAAAGCTGCTGTGAACACTCTTGGGTGTCCTGTCTGGTGAACACTACGCACCATTTCCCTTGGCTCTGTCTGGCCGTGGGGTTTCTCCAGGCAAGTGAATGTGTAGCAGGTGATATTTCAGGCCGAGTCCTCACCCCTAGTGAGCCTCTGCTCCCCTCTGGGTTTACAGAGAGGCTGGTTCCTGAGCCTGTGTACTGAAGGCATCTCTGGTGAAACCAGACAAACACCAGATGGGGATGCAAAAGACCTGGGCTGCAGATGCTTCTCCTGCATGTGAAAAGCGCAGAGGGAAGCCCCTTAACCCATCCTAGAGCGTCGCCCCAGTTACTCACGTCTCTGTGAAGGTATTGAGAAGCCAGATAGCAATGCTGTCCCAACAACTGCGCAGATGAGGAAATGTCTAAGAATCTATTACATAACTGCAGCGAGCGGTGATTATTCATCCTCCGGTTTACAGTGTCCCCACCTCCTGTCCCCTGCCAGGTGACACCAATCCCTTATCCTGATCTCCAGGCCCCTAAGCCTCTGCCTGAACTTGATTGCCAGATCTGACCCAGTAAGATGAGTGCCTTCTCACTCCCTTCCAGAAACTTCCCCATGTGTGCCCAATCCTAGCTCAGCTGTCCATGCTAGGCTGCAGGATGGTCCCAATCGCTGGAGACAATGTGGTCACTGAAGACGGGGCTCTGGCCAGCTCTGACCCCAACCTCGGGCACTGCTAGCTGTGTGCCTGGCTGGGGACGGGAGATGGGGACACTGTCACCAGGTGGGACATGGTGTCATGACCATGAGGAGCCCTGGGAAGCACTCAACTTGCCTGGCTGTGGACGTCAGCGCTGGGCGTGTGTTCACATGAGCCAGCCGGACACCTTGTCTGTCCCGCACAGGTCCTCAGAGTCCCTGGGTGAGGGGCTAAAAGGTGAATACTTGCAGGCCTGTGAGGAGCAGCCCCAGACGATGCTACCTTTCTAGAAAGTCCCACTGCACTCTCTTCGGGCAGGGACTGTAGGGCAGCACCAGGTGGCCTTCAGGCAATACACACTCAGCTTCAGAAGGCTAAGTCATAAAAGTGTATGCGGAGCAGAGGTCACACTCGGGGAAATACATAGCCAAAGGATGAGGTGAGAGTGACTCAGAGGGAATTTGTGAAAATTTTCATCCTGATCGTTAAAGGAAGCAAACCTCCTCTCCTCTGGGTGACAGATGCTACCCTTGGGCCCTGGGACACAGCCCAGTCCCTCAGGGATAGCATGAGGGTGAGACTACTGAAACAGACGTGGAGAAGGAACCAGGGGACAGGAGAGGGATATGCCTGGCTTCGGGTGGAAAGGCCCGGCCAGGACCCAGGGTGGTTCTGGACAGGAAATGCCATGGCGAAGGCCCTGGAATCACACTGGGCTTGAGTTCTGACAAGGTGACCTCAAGCAAGCACTTCATTCCTCACTTTGCTCCCCCATTGAAGGGGGCATCATGAGCATCCACTTTGTAGGGTTTGGGAAGGTCCAGTGAAATAATTCAACAGACACGTGCCGAGCCCCTATTTAGTCTACTATCTATCTATCATCACCTTCTGTCTGCAGTACTGGGGATCAAACCCAGGCCTCCACACTGAGATGCATACTCCGTTCCTTCTATTTTATTTTATTATTTTTCTTAATGTTGAGATAGGCTTTTATTAAGTTGCTAAGTGACCCAGCCTTGGTTTGAGTTTGAGATCCCCCTGCCTCAGCCTCCTGGAATGCTGGAATTACACACAGGCACGTGCCATCACACCCAGCAACCAGCATCTGTTACATCCCAGGCACAGACCTGACTCTTATAGAATGTGCATGTTTGTAGAAGCACAGAAACCAGGTGTGGTGGTGCACACCTACAATCCTAGCACTCGGGAGGCTGAGGCAGGAGGATCAGTATGAATTGGAGACCAGCCTGGGCTACAAAGTACAATCAAGTCCAGTCTGAACTGCATAGCAAAACCCTGTCTCAAAAAGAAAGAAAAAAATCACACACAATTACAAAGATAAAAGGAGAAGGAGGAGATTTATAAACACTGAAGATAATAAAATGAAATGAAAATGAGTGACTATGGGTGACTCTTTAGATGAGATGATTAAGGGGAGACCCCAGAATCTGTAATGATAAGATTGTAACAACCTCCACACCCATACCAGCCTGCATGTGCCCAGTGGCACTCTACATTGGTGAAATTCATGGCTCACTTGGCCCTTAGCACAAGCTACTCAGTAGGTATCACCCTAATTTCCACTTTAGAGATAAGGAAACTGAGACACAAAGAGGCTTAAATGGTCTGCAAGTTACCCATAATATAAGTGAGAGGACTAGATTGGAACTCAGAAAGCTCACCCAGAGGCCAGCTGCTTTGCCAACCCTTCCTCCTGCCTCGCAGCAAAGATCACTGTCATGAGTGTCACTGTCAGCAGAAGAAGTTGAGGCTCGGATGGCCGAGCTCCTTGTTCTGAGGCATCTGGGGTGTGTGGGGCTCGAGTGAGGTCAGGTGTCCTAACTGGACCGGACCTGTGTCCCCGCTGAGTCTGCCTTCTCAGGTCCCCAGGTGCCCTCACTCCCTGCATCCCACCAGGTCCTGAGCCCACAATCAGCACAGCTCCCTGACCGGAGCCGCGGGAGACAGGAGACCAAACTCGAGCAGGATCAGCTCTCAAACTTTATTGCGTACAGCGAACCGGACCTAACAAGGTCCGCCACCCTCAACGTTGGTTCCTCTTCTGCCCGTTGGGGGCAGGAACAACCTCTTATAAGGGGAAGCAGTATCCAATCACAGAGAAGCGCGCCTAACAAGCTGATAGGCTAGTGTCACGGGTAACTGGGCAGATATGACAATTTGGCGGGCTTGTTCAGGCCGGGAAGAACCCGGAAGCAGGAAATGGGCGCCATTCATAGGCGGCTTCCCACATCTCCCCCTTTTTTATTTATTAAAATAGGATGGTCTGTGGGTCCCTCCAAGGTGTCTATGACGTTGTTGCTGTTAGACACCTAGGAGTGGGCCTACCTTGTAGGCCGAGGCATGAGAGAATGTAGAGGTCTATACCCTGCTGTGCATCACCCTGTTTTGTGCATATCCTTGCGCCAGGACCATGCTCAAGGTGAGTGGTTCATTTTTTCGCAGGGCCAGGCTTTTGTGAACCGAACCTGGATGCATATAGACATTCATTCCTGCCTTCCCCCCAACCTTTGGGGCGGATGGCACTGCAGTACCCTTGGTCTCGCATCTCAATGCCAATAATTTGACTCCGGGAGGGACCCCTGGCCTTATAGGCCATGTATATCTGAGTGGAGCCTGTCTTAGGTTGACCGGGAGGGCTTTTCCCGTCTTACCCGTCATTGGCTTGCCCACTCAGCTCTTATAGCTGATGTTCTGCAATGTGAAGGAGATATGCGGCGGCCTGCTGGCCTGATGGGCCACCTGCTGCCATTTGCATGGCTGCCATAGCTGTGATCTTAACCTGCTGCTGAGTTTGTATGAGGCGATCTAACAAGCATTTAATAACCACAAGCCCCACTAGGATGGCCACGGCAATCAGGATCCAAGTAGTCAGGTTGGGCCAGGAGAACCAGGAGGTGACGCGCTCCCACAAACTGGCCACAACACTGCCTAAAGTTGACAAATCAAACCCGACCGGACCTAGTTGGATACCGTCCATACTGTCAAGTTCCTGACCGACTATGAGGGACAAATTGTGAAACTTAGGTAGGTAGGTGTCTTGCAGCCAAGCTGTCATATTTTTAACAGTGTTGGTCAAATTTGTGCAGACAGGGGTGATTAATAGGAACCCACAGAATAGAAAAAGCTCCAAACCAGACATTTTAGTTTGTAGATGGTCTCGGGCGCTGAGCGTCGGTCCCAGAAGGGTCGAGTTGACTTGTGTCCGCGGGCTTATCCTCCTGTGCTTTATCAGGAACTGGTGGGGAGTTTCCTGCTCGCGTCAATCTTTCCGGGACCCACAGCGGTTCGCAGCCTGGTTCCTGTGGGAAAACACAAACCGCACCTCGGGTCCAGCTAACCACTGGATCCGGGCCCATCCATTGTCCTGTAAGGACATCTTTCCATCTCACCAGCCCTTTGTCGGTTGGGGACGGATTGCTATGTTCCATGGCAGGGGAATGATTATGGTAAAGAGTGCCAATGATATTCTTCCTTTGGGCGTTAGGCCGTGGCCACCCAATTCACGGCACAGGCGTGTCCACTCTTAAGGACCTATTTTTGTTAGTTCTTAGGACATCACGGCACTCCTTAGTGCACTGTTCAAAAATCAATTGTTTTATGAGAGGGTGAGCCGCCTCAGCATCTGGAAAAATCCTGTTAGCGGCCTCAAGCATGCGGGCCACAAAGTCTGAAAATGGCTCTCCCTGCCCTTGTATAATTTTAGCATATCCCTGTTCCACTCTCTCTGGTTATTTTCCCTGTTGGCTGCCGCCTGCTCTACACAGAATTCCTCATTCCAGGACTTCCAATCTAAATATTGTCCGGGGGAGAGGCAGGCACGTGCCAGCTGGGTCCAATCTCCAGGAGTTAAAAGCAGACCTGCCAATGCCTCTAAAAGCGCCATGGTAAATGGCGCATTGGGCCCATAAGCTGAAACTGCGTCCTTGATAGTTTTAAGTTGTTTAATTTCTAAGGGCTCATAATATCCTCCTCCTCCCCTGCCTCCTACTTGTACTGGGAATGCATGGAGACCGGAACACTCAAAGGGAAGCCGCGACCATACCCTCTGGTAGAAGGAACGTCCTCCTCCCTCCCCAGATGGGGGCGCAGAAGGCAACCCAGGAAGTAGCTCTCCCTCTAACCAGGGCGGTGCCATAGGTTGTGGTGGCAGCCCAGGGAGCAACTCCTCTTCCGGCCACGGCGGTGCAGTGGGGCCTGGCGCCCCGAAAGGGGGCGACCATGGGTCGCGAGCTTGCCAAGGAGCGGAAGGGCTTAAGCTCCTCCCGTAAGGTGGAGTAGCTCGGGCAGGGTGGTGTTTGGTTCCCCTTTTTATCTTCCCGAGCCCTAAGTTCCTCTTTTAACGGTGTAGGAGGGTCATGCTTAGCAAAGACGACCTCCTCTTCTGAGCCTTCCGAATCCGAATCAGAATTAGAGCCCTGAGGGTCCTCCGGAGACCCACAATCGGCAGTGGCTCCGGGCTCCTCTGAGCATTCCGATCGAGCTCTATCAAAAGCCTGTCGGGCTGTATTAGCGAAGCGAAAGCAAAACAGATGCAAAGGGAAAAGAAAAGAAAAAAAAACCGGCGTCCACTCGTGTGGCGCTCAAAATCTGTTAGGTGCATCCACCCAACCCAGGTGACCCAGTACTCACCTGTCCCGGGAACCGCTGTATCTCACGTAGCTGATCAGGGTGAAGAGAAGAGGCGCTCGCGGCCTTCCGTTGTTATTGGGCCAGGTCCTCCGTCGTACCGCAGGCGACAGCAATCGCACCTCCCGGCCGAAGAGGCACGTCGCTGAGTCTTTTACCTTTTTCCCCAAACGGGCCACCAGATGACCGGAGCCGCGGGAGACAGGAGACCAAACTCGAGCAGGATCAGCTCTCAAACTTTATTGCGTACAGCGAACCGGACCTAACAAGGTCCGCCACCCTCAACGTTGGTTCCTCTTCTGCCCGTTGGGGGCAGGAACAACCTCTTATAAGGGGAAGCAGTATCCAATCACAGAGAAGCGCGCCTAACAAGCTGATAGGCTAGTGTCACGGGTAACTGGGCAGATATGACAATTTGGCGGGCTTGTTCAGGCCGGGAAGAACCCGGAAGCAGGAAATGGGCGCCATTCATAGGCGGCTTCCCACAGCTCCCCACCTGGTATCACCCGAAAGTCACCCATCACAGCCCGGCAGGAGGAGCGGAAGGTGATGAGGGGAGTGGCCCGGCTCCCCCCTGGCTCTGGGCAAGCTGTAAAGGGCCTGCGACTCACATGAGACCCATGGGCAGGCCCAGCTGTGCACAGAACGCTGGGCCAGTGGCCCAGGTTCTATTTTCCGCACCAGCAGAGATGCCACAGTGCGCCCAAAGGCAGGTGCCTGAGTGTTTACTACAAGGTCGAGGACTGAGATCTTGCAGGTCTCAGGCTTCACTCTTCCCATCTGCTCTCATCGTCTCACGGAGGAAGTCATATATATATATATATTTTTTTTTCCAGCTAAGTCCTTTTATTCTTTTGGTGATCTCTTCCAGAAAAAAATAACTACTTGCATTGTAGGTGATAAAACATACAAGGCTCCGCTTCAAATGTGGGCTCTGCTGTGCACAGCACAATCTTCCCCTTCACAGCAACTTAGAACCAACGCTTTGATTCTTGTCCTGTGCTCCAGCCTCAGAAGTGGTCTCCATTGCAGACACTGTCTGCACAGTCTGATGCTCTTGAGCAATGGTCTGTGACCAGGTTCTGTCTTCTCCACAAACACTACAAAAGGCCTAGTTTATGCCTGTGTTAAACTAAGAGGCATTCTCTCAAATGAGTTTCAACACACTTTATTTTTAGACAACCTACATGATGTGTGTTTTTTCCTAAAAAATATGCCTCCAATCCAAACAGATCATGGTCAAAATAAACAAAGCACTCGTAATGACATCAGTCCCATTTGTCTAAAATTCCCATGCTATGTGGACGACAAGCAGCAGCCAGTTAGGACAAGTGATAGAGCCAAGGTCACTGCCGAATCCATGAACGTTTTTCCAGTTCTAAGCCATCCTTAAAGAAAACCATACACAGGGTCACACCATCCTCATGGGAGACCAGGATAGCTGTCACACCATCTGATTCCTGTTTGCACCAGTGAAGAGCTGATGGTTTTTGAAATTAGCAAGGATGTGCTTGATTTGTTCTGCGCCCCTGCTGTAATGGTCTTGCTCTTTCTGGTCTTTGTCCTTCAAGTTTGCCTTGGGTTGATTTTGTAAATCTGTGATGTACTTCTCGAAGGTCTCTGGTGAAGCTGGTTTCCTGTTAGTGATGGTGCACACAATAAACACCAGTGACTGCCTGTGCCCTCTGGGCCTTCTGTGGAAGCATTTCCACCAATGAGTGAGTCACAGATGTTCCCCTCTGTTCTACTGACCATCTTGTCTTCTACATCCAGGCACAGCCTGCCCGTGATCTCTCGGATCTGGTCAGTGCCGGAGACCATCTCATTGCAGCAGATGAGGTCCTGACAGATCATCATGGTGGTGGTGGACAGGACACAGCAGCAGCACTAGCTTAGCAGGATCTGGGAGCTCAGGTCGGCAGTCCAGCCCAAACTGGCACTCATGGGGTGTGCACAGCGGGCAGAAAAGCACAAGTCCTATATTGTGAAAGATACTTTCCTCAGCACTCCTCCGAGAGTGAACGGTCTTTGGGACAGGTTTCCTGTGACAGCAACATAAATCACCTCACTTGGTCCTCAGGATAGCTCACCAGAGGAGGTTTAGTGACCAAAATGAGTCTGGCCAAGAGCGTGAGGCATCCTCTTCACCCAGCTAGGGAGAGGCCAGGTCAGGATTTGAGCCCGTGTCCTGTGACCCCCTCCGTCATTGCCTTCCATCCTGATCTTTCTAAGGTACAGAGAGGAAAGAGAGCAAGGAGCAGTCAAACAGGTGGGGCAGGGGTGGGGAGGTTAGAGAGGGTTTTTCTGTGTATTTTAGGATGCCCTTGAACACATTATGTAGCCCAGGCTGGCCTCGAGCTCATTGCAGTCGTCCTGCCTCAGCCTCCCAAGTGCTAGGATGATAAGCACTCACTACTGTTATAAGCTAAGCCCCCCTAACTATCACGCTGAAGCCTGTTCTGTATAAGTCCACCTGCTGCTTCCCCTCCCCTTCTCCCTTCACATCTAACTAGGTTAAGTTTTAACTTCCTGAAAGGCCATAAAACAAAGGCCTGAGGTAACAGCTCCTGACAACCCCCTTCCCTACCCGGTGGCCTGTCACAAATTGTGTTAATTGCATTAGATTGTATTAGAATGTACTATTCTTCACAAAATAGCTTCGTTTGTATCATAGCAATACCTGTGTGTTCCTTTTCCCTCTGGGTAAAGGATTAATATGCTAATCAATGCTCTCCCGTGTAAAGAATTGTAAAATCTTACCTAATTGATATGTTAACCATTGTTGCCCTCTACAAATAACAGTTGTGGTGCTAAAGTAAGGTAACTAAAGTTGTTAATTGCTGTTAGACTTCTCTATTCTTTGCTAAGAAAAACAAGATTTCTTCTTATCTAAACTTGCTTGTATGCAGGGAGACTTGCAATTGCTGTTTCTGCTTTGTAGTGCGTCACACCCCCATCTCCTTCCTTACATTGTGTGACCAGCAGCTGTTTGTGGATTTATAAGATAAAAGACCTGACTTTTAGCTGTCAGGTGCGCAGTCTCCAAATTGGCTCCCAAAGACTTGACACCACGCCTGGAAATAAAGCCTTTGCTTCCCAAATTTTAATTTCTTGCTTCCTTGGATTTTATACCGGGGGTCCGAGTTATCACAACTACTGTGCCCATTCGGTCCAGCATTTTTTTTTAATTTAAAGAAAAAAAAAACAAAAAAAAGGGTAGAAACAATACAGAATTTCAGAAAAATAAACAGTAAGAAATCACCAGTCAAAAAGTTACATATCGTCATCTTAGAAATAGTTGCTCAAGTTACAAAATTAAAGCATACAAAGTGATATTCAAATAATGACACTGCAAACAGTTCTGCTCAATGATCCAACAAGAACTTAGTAATATGGTTATCAGTCCTACACACTTGTTTTTTATCTTAAAGAGGTAAGATTAAACAGAACAAAACAGCTTATATGCAAACAATTTAAAGAAACATAGATTTCAAAGCAAGTCCACTGGAGATCTTCACTGTCTGTCTTATTGTCTCTAGTTTTCTTCCAAATAGTTGTCCCCATCTTCACATACATTGAATATATACTTAACATTATAGAACTAATCAAATCATTACAGGATGATGAAGGCTTTTTAGGCCTTCAAGACCTGATTTTGGGGAAGTCAATAATGTCTACCATAATGTTTCTCAGTCTCTTTGTAGTAGCTATCTTTATCTTTACGTGTGCTGAAATTGAACATCATGAGAGACTAGACTAATATCACTCTGAACAGTGAATGATAGTATTGTTAGATTTTATATTAGAATGCTACAGAATTAGCATTGGGTTTCTTACTGTCTCTTTTTCTTCAGAGTATCTGTTCATTACATCATGTATTATATAATCTGTCCCCGTAAATAGTTTAGAAATTGTTCCCATGTGTGAATCTCTACATGTATATCTAACCTTTCTGTATTATAGGGAAAAACGGATCAAAATAAGACAACAAAATAAATTTCTAGAAAAACATGAAATGAAAAAGACATATAGGACCATTGACCGGTGCAGCCCCAATGAAACAGGAGACAGGAGACGCTCTTGTGGACGACAGTTAACTGCTGGTTTATTTACGCGGGCTCTGGTTTATATATTTGGCCGTGACCAATCACAGGCTGCCACGAGGAAGCAGGGTGGGAATGGGATGCAGGCTCTGGCTACTATATCCAGCTGTGGCCAATCAGGAGTTGCCACAGAGTACGGAGTGAGCGCGGGGTGCGCACGGGTTGGCTAATTTAAAGAGGGACGTAGCGCATTGCGGAAGCTGGCGTGGTCCTTAGTCCCGGGTGGGGTATGGTATGTTGAGCACCTGCGCCCAACAGACCATGATATTAGGTGATCTACAGTAGTCACTATGCTTTCTCTTACTATTTTCAATAGAATTGTCCACATCATCAGGCATAAAATAATAGCTATTTTAATAAAAACACAACTTTGAAGACATTGTACAACTTGAAAGCAGTTCATAATCAAAACCAGAATGGATATATTTTACATCTTGTCATCTTCAGAGTAGTTGTCTCTACTCTTAAACTTGATACTATCAAGCATACCAAATTCAAATGAAATCAGTTGAAGCTAAACAGCGGTCTAACAAACCAGCTTCAAAGAAGATCAGTCATGGTAAGAGAAGGTTTCAGTGTAAGTTAATAGGAAATCAAGGATAGTTACTGTGGTATAACCTGCTATTTTTGGGTTAACTGTCTGTGCCCTCAAATCTAATATGAGTAGACAGACTGGAACAAAATATAATCAAACTAAACAGAGCAGTAAGACTACTGTGACTTTTAAATCCTGATACACTATTAACAATGTCCTCTGCCTTCCTTTTTTAGACAGTTCCTCCCTTTTCCCTTTCTCAGGGTGCTTTGTATATTTTGGGTCCCACTAGCTCCTTTAGTTTTTAGATTAGGGGGCCAACCTGTTATTTATCTGAGTGTCGCTAAACCTTTTTACCCCTGAGCTTGATCGTGAGCTGTACTCCTGTACTTACTAAAGTCACAAGGTTTTCCTTCCTTCCAGCTGTGTAGTTCTACACTGCCCAAACGTGTCATAGCTTTCCAATCTATCCACAGCTTCTGGATGAGTTGTCCCTATTTCTTTCTGGGTTCCTGTCACATTTAGCATTGTTTTCTCATCTTTGATGCTCAGTTTATTAACCCTCTTTCAGGTTGAGTGTACTTCCATTCAGAGCATCTTGATGGATCCTGCCTCCTAATCTGATGCTCTGCCTGTGTTTTCTTTTTTTGTTAGAGTATCAGGGCTATCTATATTAAAGATTATAGCTTACCGTCTCTGCCTCATGTCTGCTATTTTATTCTTCTGCCATTATTTGTCCACTTTATTCCTTCATTCCACTGTCTGCCCCGTTCATTGAAGTCTCTCTGTCACTGTTGCTGGAATCCTGGTATTTTTTTTCCTCTCTCTCTCTGGAATGTCCTTCAGT